TCACAGTTAAATTGACATTCACTGCCTGAGTCATTTATTAGTTTCCACAAATCATCAAATTATTGGGTTATAGTCTGATACGGTGACTTTCGGTAGTTCCCACATGCTAAAAAGGCTGATTAAATTTGCAGCAGTTCGAAACATGGTAATATGTAGTATCAGATTCCTTCACCGCGATATTCACAAAGCTACGTGGCTCTTGAAATCTGGTTCATCATTTCTTAATTTCTGCATGAGACGCTTCTTATGTGCATTTTTTTCTTTGTCCAAATATTGAATTGGACCGCTATCTTGTCACAACTATGGTACAAATGTAATTTGGTGTGTCAACATTATAGCTCTCGACAAGAACAGTTATTATTGATATATATTGTGCGGATTTGTGCCAAACACAAAGACGCTGGGTATTTTAATTGAATCTAGTTTCATAAAGAACATTTCTAAGCAGGGACCGTAACAGTTATCATAAAAAAAATAAAAATCATCTTATAACTGTTATCATATGCATTTTAAAATAAAACTCAAAAAATAATAATTATTATATGCCTTTTATTTTTTTCGCGCAGCAATAACTCTTAAAATTTGCTTCTTATTTTAAAACGCACAAATAACTGGTATACTTGCGTTATATAATATAAAAAGCAAGAGTATCGCGCAAATTCTGCGCGATATTTTTAAAATGAAAATATAAAATGCAATTTTCATACAAGGTAGTTTTTGCAATTCCATAGAAAATGTTTGAAAAGGTTGGTGCAGGTAAAGATTTAGTTCAGTTTTTTTGTTTTTGTATTTTGCATTTATATTTTGTATTTACATTCGTATTTTGTAGGAGAACAAATTTGTATGTAAAATACAAAAACAAAAAACTGAACTAAATCTTTACCTACACCAACCTTTTCAAACATTTTCTATGGAATTGCAAAAACAACTACCTTGTATGAAAATTGCATTTTATATTTTCATTTTAAAAATAACTCTTGCTTTTTATATTATATAACGCAAGTATACCAGTTATTTGTGCGTTTTAAAATAAGAAGCAAATTTTAAGAGTTATTGCTGCGCGAAAAAAATAAAAGGCATATAATAATTATTATTTTTTGAGTTTTATTTTAAAAAGCACAAATATAAAAAGCATGCATAATATTAAGGATAAAAGTTGTTAGAATGATAACTATTTACTTAAATAAGAGTTTAGACAACTTTTTGTTGCTGCTTTTTTTCATAAAAAATTTTAAAATAACTGTTATTTTCGGTCCCTGTTTCTAAGTCCATCTAGTTTAAATAACTATCATCTAGACGTAAATAACTATCATCTTAAATTAAAACTAAAGAGATGATTATGGTCTGTGTCAATACTAGCACTGCGCTTTACCCTTACTTCCGTTAGGACCCAATATTGATATTGATTCAGCCTATCATTTTTTGTTTGAGCAGAGTATTATATATATGATTCTCCGTTCTACTGTCGGGAGAAAGAATAGTATGCCTCTAACAAACAAAAGTCAAGCTCACTCCAAAGACCTTGATAATTTGATCATAATTTCTCTAACAGTACTAGCTATTACATCTGTCATACAAGGTCTTCCAACTGCGTGAAAGGTTGAAAGCACATGCCAACTCACTGAAAGAGTCTTTCAATGCGGACGCCCCACCATTGATTAGATATTCATACTGCAACATATCCTGGCAAAAGTCTACAAACATAATATCGGAATCCCCTATGCATTTGTTAATTATAAATCAGCATTCGATTGCTCCCTAAGAGGTTATGTTTACATAGCTTAGCTAATTATTTCTTGAAGTATAATATGCTTCTGCCGAATAAAGTTGATCAGCACCTGTAACTCCGTCAAGTTACAATTAAATATCACAGAATCCATTCGTACTGTCAAGGTGGCCCATATCCTATGATCGCAGTATAGCTATAAATATAGCTTCTTCTGAGTAAATCGATCTTATTGAGGGCAAAAACCGTTACTGCTGCTTTTGCTGTTATCAAAATGAATTCTACCTATAAAATCGGGCGTATCGGCAAATGCTAGGAATACAAAGTATATATTTGCTACTGCAAGAAATGTAAGTCGTTCTGCCAAAAAATTGATTACTGGTTGCTATACTTTCAAAATATAGCAAAAATTTGATCTGATTTAATGACGGTAATACTAACAAAAACGATGTCAACCGCATCTGCTGTTATTTAACGTAACATTCTATGCCTTTGAGGCCTTATAGTACGGTGTTCAAAAATACATATATTGATACAAGACGTCAATCAACGCCCAATTAGAATTTTCTTAGTAATTCCGCCGGTACCAATGAAGAAATGTTGTTGCAATTGCAGACCTCAGTGACTACCATGCACACCTCTAACACAAGTGTCGGCGTGGTGCCAGGATTTTAGTAACCTCTTACGAAATGGAATATTCTAAGCCCTTCACCGCAGGGGGCAACAGCGATGTCAATCCGGAGATTAGACAAAGAATTACCCTTGTCAATAGGAATAAGTATGTAATTAGGATATAAGCCTTTCGTATGCCAACAAAATTTACGCTCATTACGTCGTTCATTTTAACGGCACTTATGCATGACATAGAAACAAAGATCCTACCCTCGAATTATGAAGCAACACTAGGAGTGTTCAAAAGAAATATTTTTCGTAAGATCTTTAGCTTTCTATGAGTGTGAATTTTGGAAAATTCACCGTTCTGAGCAGCTTATTTTACTAAACCCTATGTCAACATAGCGTAGTTTTTCTGATTAATTGGAAACCTTTTACATTAATTACACAACTAACAACTAATTAACACATCACACCATTAAGCCAGTACAAGAAATTTTGACATTAATAACTCAAACGGTAGTTAACAGATGGCGCAACTAACTTGTGCCTATTATTTTCAATTTAAAACATTTGCTACCTTAAAGCCTAATACCTCGTGAATCCAGCTATATTACAGTATAAAGTATGCGGAATATCACATAAAATATATAAAAAATTAACAGTCGATTTAAATTTTTTAAAGTAGGTATCAGTACTTAAATCAATTTCCCATGTAATTTTGTTACCCTTTCGATTTTCTTTAAATATTTTTTTAATGACTGCAACCGATTTGAAACGTTTTCTTCCTAGTAGTATTTTCGTTTGAGAACAAAAAAGTCATAAACATTTAAGAAAATACTCGGTGATAAATAAGAGAATATAATTTTAATAAATTTTCATAATTATTGTAATTATTATAACACTAAAAAATAGTTGTTGACTTTTGCAATGTACACCAAAGAATCGCAACGAATCAAAGTTTTAATACTCAGAGTACACTCATGAAAACCAAGTATAAATGCGTATAAATGTTTTCTCATACACCACTTATATGTATTCATAATCGCCAAAAAATGATTCATAAGTGTTTTTGTTTCGAGTGCTGGTGCTAATGAATCAGAATCGCAAGAGTGACTCTACTTTTCTAAGTAGAGGAGCATACATACGTATATAACAGATGACTAATGAGTTGTAGCATATACACGAGCGGTAGAAATTAATGAGCGTACTCAACAAAAATTAATGAATACCGATTCGATCAGTTTTGGTACTCGAGCAATAATCATTATAGGTGCTATCAGTTGTATGTATGAGTCAGGTGGATTCGAATCTACCAAAAAGAGAGTCAGAATACGTATAAGTGAAGTATAGCCATTCAAGTATGACTCGAGTGTTGAGTTCTCATTGTAGTTATCTGATGTAGACATCTAATTTGTTGTGCTGTGCAAATAGATAGAATTGAAAATTGAAATGCAAAACTCTGTATTAATATGGTACATACGAAGTCTATATTTCAATGCAGACTGCTATATTTTCATTCTAATTTACTTCTTTAACAGAAGTATTCTAAATGATTGAATTAAACTACATAAATGCACTATATAATGTATCTTATAAATAAGACATAAGCCTAGAAACATAATCAGTAGATTCAATTAACAGCACATGGTTCTCGAAGTGTAATAAAAAAAATGGAGAGAAAAAGAGGTAGTGAAAGGACATATAAAATTATTATAAAAAGTCATAATAATAAAAAATCATGGCAGTGCTCTGTGTAGTATTTTACTTAAATGAAAGTAAACATACAAGCCAAATAGATATTATGTGATATAAGTAAAACTTAAAATATTATTTCCTGACTAAACTGCGACTTATGTCGTTCATTTTAATTTTATTTAAATATTAATTATATTAAAAATTAAAAATAATTAATTTAAAATATTAATTATATTTTAATATTTAAACTTAAGCAATAGCTTCAATAACTAACGTTTTACCATTTCGTTCGATATTATTTTCATTTACATTTATATCACAACTGAATTATAATAATTTGTTATCGGGCTAATTGGTCAAATTTAAATATAAATAAAAAGACACTAATTTATTATTTATATTTAAAAATCGTTTATACTTTATTTCCGATATTTCGACTAACTTCGATAGTCATCTTCAGGGAAAACTACACAAAATATAGGATGTTCCATTTTTATAGTGGATTATAAAGAAAAATCATACAATAAATACAATAATAATGATGACAACAAGAAAAAACAACAACATCCTGTGTCATTTGTTTATAATATTTCTATAAGCCTGAGCACAGTTGTCCGTATCAGTTTTATAATTAAGTCTTATATTATTGGGCACTTGAAGTATTGAGAGCATTTCCAGAAAGTACCTTTTATTATGGTTCCTTTCTTCATATAAAATTTTTGCCTTATCAAAATCAGGTTCATGTTTATGCTCCATACAACTGAATTAACAGAAAAGTTGATTTAAGCAAGATAAATATAATTAAGTCACTCATTAAACTTTGAGCAAATTTGATAATAAAAATTTTGTGAGCACACATAGCATGTAAATATTATCCGGTTATTTTTTGTCATTTTATACAGCACAATAACAACCAATACTGATAGTTGCATAAAGTAATTGATTCTGTAACGAGTATTGAACGCTTTTGTTGATTCTATAGTATTCTCTCATTTTTCGAGTAAGAAACCCATTTTTCACAGTGAAAAATTGCATATATAAAGTGAATTTAGTGAGTGTTCATAATATTACTAAGTATTCTTAACAGAGCAAGTGAAAATCGATGTGTTTGTAAAAAAAAAATAGTTCAAAAAATATTTCTCTAAAATTTTTTGATATTGCCGTTTATATAATATTATCAATAATGTATAAATTAAAGTTAATGAAAGATATGAGTGATTTAAAGGACATGGAACATTTATAGAACTTAAGGTACTAGTTTTATAAACAATATAATTAATTGTGTAAAAAGTTAAGGTGTTTTCACGCGTGAAAACACTTCATTAAGAACTAAAAAACAATTGTTTGTTTCCAAACAAAGCGCAATCACTAACAACAAAAAGACGCCATTTTCAATTTTTTTTTACAAAATAAACAGTTGACCTTTGAGAAAAATAGTCGAAGCTAAAAATAAACATCTCTGAAAAAATCATTGATTTAAAAAGTGCATTAACATTTGTTAAAACGCTATAGAGCATATAAAAAAAAAACTTTAAAAAATCAATAAATTTATAGTTAATTTAAAGCTAAAAATTTTAGCCTTTGTTTTGTGGTAAAAGTGTAATGTTTACAAAGCAGCTTAAACAAATAATTTTCTTCAACGTAACGGAAAAAAGAGCTGCTGTTAAAAAGAGAATACTTCTTCACCCGACTACAATGTTCAAGAATTTTTGCTGCGTGACGAACCAAATTACGGCAATGATCTCAAGTAAAACGCAACTACTGAATGCCTACAGAGTCAGATGTCAACAAACAATAATATCAATATACTAAATAGTGGATCAAGTCATCTTAGTAATCTAAGTTATATGCATCGTTATATCTAAAGATTTCAATACGAACAAATTTTTAAGACTAAGAACGTAGGTTGCTTTGCTTTAAATAAACACTTTCAAGCAAAACCTTTTTATATATAAACAACCATTGAAATCAGTTTTATAGCCACATAATTTTATTTGGAAACAAAACCAATAAATAAAGGGTTGCCACCATGAAGTTGCTTGAAAATTCTCGTTTTGAAGCCATAAATAATGCGCTGTCCATTAAAACTGGTGCAAATACACTATTTGGACGAATTGAAAGCTATTCTTGCAAAATGGTTGGGGCTGATAAAGCACTCTATAAGCGGTTCACAGCCGAAATAAACGGTTACGGGCCACATGATCTGCAGGCTTTATCACCACCACAAACTTTAGCTGATTTCTCACCAAATTTTCATCGCAATGGCAGTCATTCTGGTGATGAAGGTGTCATTTTATGTGACACCATATCTAGAAAAACATTATTCTATTTGATTGCCACATTGAATGCATCATTTGAACCAGATTACGATTTTTCCGATGCAAAAGTAAGCATAAAAATTATAAATTTTTTTACTATATTTTTGTACACATTGAACACATATACATATCACATATTAATCAAGTCTGTATTTTAAACTTAAGCTATTTATTAAATATATATAATAGGAGTACTCATCTAAACTGATAAATGCCTTATAAACCTTATAAACGTATAAATTTTTTTGTTTGATAAATGAAGTCTCAAATTTTACCGAATAAATTATAATCGTATAAATTTATCTGTTGTCACCACAGAGTTGTATTCCAACATAAGCAACTCATTTACAAAAATATCTTTGTAAATACTTCTTAGTTTGAACTTTTCGCTCAATTTTGGTATTTTATTTTATAATTTATTAATAGAGACACAGCTGATCAATAAAGTTTGCACAAATATTTAAAATTGCAACGATATTGGCCAAAAAAATTTTACTGCTAAGCATTGCATTTTGTGCTGTCATAATTACTGCTAATATAAATAGTGCTATTATACAGCATATTGATAAATTAGCACAAATATATCACTAAATGCGTTCATATAACCGTGTACGTAAACGCATAAACTTAGTCATTTAATAAATTTATATGCTAAGATGAGTACCTCTTATATAATTATATAGTTTGTGAATATTATGGTATAGTATAGTATATAGTATACATTAAATACTTGATCATTTTGCTTTCATTCCAAGCAAATGTTTATTGTATTGAGAAAACATTTTTTTCGTTTTCAATTGTAGTTTAAAATTGCGTACAAATAAAAATAACTTAAAAATAAACAAAAAGAAAGACAATTTTCTAAAATATATTTTGCCAAATATTTGGTAAAAAATATACTTAAACAATCTTATCTTTTGTATGTAATTATGATATATTATTATTATTTTATATATTATCATTTCATATATCATCATTTATATATTGTATATATTATCAATATAGATATTATATTATATAATACATTCTATATTCTACCTTATATAATATTATTTTTTTTATCACATTATACTACAAACATCTATCTAAATCATTGATCTCAAACACTTTTATTTTGTGTTATTTTTTTTTTTAATTTAATTTATTGACAAAATGTTTTTATTTTGTTTATAACTTTTTGTTTACAAAATATACATATTTTTAAACAACCTTGGCTGGCCTTGAAATCATGTTAAGAACAATTTTTGGCTGATTTTCATATTTTATTTACGCTATTCCTTTTTTTCGCAAAAGAAGGCAAAATATTTTACTTTAATATTATTTATATGCATAAGTATTATACATACATACATAAATGTTTTTCAAAACTATATAGAGCGGTATATGTTATGATGAATTACGGCTATTTTGTTTTTTTTTTTCATTATTACGCGGTAAATTATCTAATGGGTACTTTTCGATTTGTTGACAACCTCAGATCTCTGCATTTTTAACATTTAAATAATATTTATTTTTGTATATGTCCATATTTTTAATTGAATTTGTACCTAATATTGTTGATTTATAAAACCTGTAGGTAAGTAGTGATCTTATTATAGATAATTGAAATTTATATAGTAAGAAAGATCAATGAAATTAAAAAAGGAATACATAAGTTGAAATGGGTGTGACTCCAGGCAGGCAATGATGAAGGGTATTGTGGGATAGAGGACGAATGAAGGTGCAGATTTGCGTGATTGAAACTAAAGGTAAATATAGTTAACACTGATTGGTACTAGTTAGTGTAGGATGAAACCGTAGCGAATCACTTAGAGTAGAAGTTAAGAAAGCAGTAGTGGTTTCACTAAACCCTTTTTTTTGTTTGATCGTCGAACTTGACGAATGGCTTCGGGACGTAGAGTCATACGTTCTTGAAACCGTAGCATTCTAGTAACAATTCTTTGATTATTCATCCACATCCACGTTTTTTAAACTACAAAAGAAATCTGATACGACAATTCAATAAGTGTATTCAATATACTGATTATGTAATTTAATTAAAATCAAGACAAAAAGTAAAGATTAATGAAATTTTGAAACGAAAAAATAATTTGAAATAATAATTACAATTGTGAATTTTTTTCTCTGCATCAAAATCTTTTCAAAAAAAAAAAAATACACAACCATAATCCAAATTTTCACAATACTATAATTTCAACTTACCATTTTTGTAATAAATTAACCTTTGCATATATGTAAACCTGAGAAGTTCTATACGGACTTCAATCGGATATATATATATTTGAATATATAGATTTAACTTCAAAGAAAACAAAGATCTCTTACTCGTTAATAATATAAATAGTATTTCAAGGAGCAATGGCAATGAATTTGAGTACCAGAAAAATCTGGCACGACCGAATATGAAAGTGTAGCAAAACTGCACTTAATTTAAGCATTCACTACTTAAATTTTTTTTAAATTTGTTTTTTACCGTTAAAGTGAATATAGTACTGATTTAGGAATACAATCTCGTTTTAGCAGTTATTATGTTTGTGTAATTGATGATAAAATCAAGCAATTTGTTTTATATTCTTTCCAAAGTTCGCTTTGCGTACTTTCTTTTAATTGTTGAGTAAATTAACGTCATCTCAAATTTGAGAATAAGAATAGTTTATTAAGAATAAAAATAATTTATATCTCCCTAGTGCGTTACAAATATTGTGACAAACTTGATTTATTCCTTAATTGCAATAATATGATCAATATTCAGCAAAATTATAATTATTATTATTATTCGACCAAAGTGCACTAATGAAACACTTTGGTCTCGTTGTTAATATGTATTTTTTTTAGGAATTTTAGCTATCTAGTTGCTAAAAGTAGCAAGTTGTGTATTCTACCTTCCGCTGAGCGCTTCAAATTAGCGCTATGGGTGCATATTCCTTGTAATGTGTACTGATACTGAATATTTGAAGTACATTAAAAGCGCGCCGATCATACTGAGAGCGTAGCGCTTACTTCCAAAAACATGGCAATATAATAGGGTAGATTACCTTTAAAGAGCGGTCGGTATAACAGCTATATAAATCAGCTATCCATTTATTGAAGTTTACATACCTTTTACTCATAAATATTTACTGTTCGTAAATGACAGGTGCACTTGTAACTATATTAATAGCTACATCGTAGTTATAATCAAATCTGAACCGATCTCGATTTTAGTAACAGTAAAATTTTTCTTTCAAAAATACAAAAGTGTTCCGTATAATAACTTGTATCTAAAGCATCTATTTATACTTGTTATATCGAAAGTTAACCTCGGACATAATTTCAATAAGTGTTATGCATTTATTTTCACTTTTGAAAATTTTATTTAAAAAATATGACTTTCTTCATGTATTTAACTATTACTTCGTATGACAGATATATCTCAGTTCAAATATATACAAAAGAAATTTATCATTCTATATTGTATGGTACGTAAGTATGGATGACATCATAAGATACTGGGAGATTTAGAGAAAAAAGTTGTTCATAAAATTTTTCGCCGTCTACCGCATCTGAGTGAACTACCAATTGTATTAGATTCACTACTAATTGGCATTGTTTAGGGAACTAATATCCAGCGGGTTCACAAATAAGGTCATATTGTGATAACATAAGATAATCCTCCAGCAAAAAAAATGTGTTTAAAGCAGTAATCGGACTAACAAGATATAGGCATGACCACGTTTACTTGATAGTGTTCAGACTTGGGGAGTACTAACCACACATGATTTACAAGACGAAATGAACCAAAGCTGGCTGCAAACGAGTGTTGTCTCAGGACGAAATACAGTAACAAGTTGTCAGGGTCACCTTAATAAGTAAGTAAGTAAATATCATTTACATACATCACTTACTCAGTTTCCACTAGTTATATTTATAAATAATGAAAACAAGCCATTCTCGATTGTTTATTTTGATAGCTTGTAAAAAAATCAATTGATTGCAGTCATTCTGATAGATATAAAAGATAATCTTCAAAAAAAAGTGTATTAATAAAATTCATTCCATCTCAAAAACTTGGAATATTAATTATGTTGAACAGACTATTTAATATTGTTGTTGTTATAGTCGGTATATGAACTGGTGTCTATGTTGGAATTATATATAGATAAGTGGTTTGAGTGTGTGGATTCGACTGCAGCTGGAACCTTGTTAATGTTGTTGTTATTCATATGAAGGTCTTGAAATGAAAAATATGGTCGCAATGCATGTCGTACACTTGGGATGACATAGAAAGTAAAAAAAGAAAATTAATTAATTAATTAATTAATTCAGTTAAATCAAGAGTAATTATAACTTTTTTAAAGTCTTTGATACCCTCACTATGTTACACCTTTCACATCATCTGTGTGATGAATATAAAAAGTAATTACATGTTTTTGACGAAAATTATTTTAATTTTTTTTTTATATCTTAATTGCCTATAATAATATAATAATTTATAATTTATTTTACCAATTAGTCATTATGGTAATGATATAGAATTCAATTTAAAGTTATATAAATGTGAAGAGCTGTTAAAATTATTATTTTTAATATGATTATATTACTGGAAATTTCTTATTATTTTTGAAAATTCCTTAATTAAATTTAAAGAATAAATGGAAATGTCTTTAAAAATAGTAAAAACCAATTATTTATTTTTAAAATTAACAAAATAAAATTAATAATCTATAAAAAAATATTCTTCTATAATATTTAAAGAGAATTTATAATCTATATATGTGTACACTTTCAAACTTGAAAAATAACACTTTTGTAGGGTGAATTTATAAATATTTGCTTTTTAAGGAATGTCACCTATATATGAAGATTCAAAAAAAAGGAAACCAAAAATTTTTATGAAGAAATTAAAAATGACCACAACTGTAAGCTAGAAAATAATCAGAAACGATAACAGAGTTTCTAAACCTCTGAAATAGACCAATGGTCCTCGGCATCAATGGCGTCATACAAGCACTTATCGATCAGCAATCATAGAATATACTGCAAATGTTACCGCAAATTACGAATTATCTATTAAAAAAAGTATCTTTGTATTTTTTATATTACATAAAAATAATATATATATTCTTTTAATTTTTATCTTTTTGTAAAAAGTGTCAAGTTTAAACCATCTTCAATAATCAATGAAATACTAAGGAGTCAAGTTAAAGCTATGATAAAGTGTATGTGTTTGCACATATTCGGAAATATTATATATCAAATCGACAGCTGTATAAATAAGAATAAATTTAATTTTAAAATCTTCGATTTGACTTAATTTGCAGCAGTAAGAAAATGCTATAGTTAAAGAACTCATTAGTCTCATCGACAGAGCAATTAATATTTATCGAATTTATTATATAAGCATCTAACTCAAGTGATTTAATAAGAACAATTCCCAATGTAACTCAATTGTAATAGATTTAATGTAATCCGTAGTCCAAAGCATTGTTTGCCGTACATCATTCGATTTGTAATATTTTTCATTTAACATATGAGCGACATTTTAATACTCAAGAATATAAGTTTGAACTGTAAGCAATTAATTTTAAATAAAATAATACCATAATTAGTTACATATAAACTGTTTTTTTTTGTTTTCTTAAATATAAATAATTAAATTTTAAAATAATCTTTATAATTTTTTTTTAACAGTCACATGAATTTAGCAAGGAACCATCTATACAATGGGTTATGAATTCAGTTCATTCAAATTTGTCTGCATTAGCTGGCGATCAATACCAAATATTGCGTCAACCATTATGGTCTGCAATTGATGATGAAATCAATCTCTCTGAGTGCGATATCTACAGTTACAACCCGGACTTGAGCTCTGATCCGTTTGGTGAGCCAGGTTGCTTATGGTCTTTTAACTACTTTTTTTACAACAAGAAAATGAAACGCATTGTTTTCTTTACCAGTCGTGCAATCAAGTAAGTTTTGAATACTTTAGATAAAATTTTGACAGATCTTTTTACAATTAAATTAATTTTTTTTAAGTGCACTATACTGTGGAGATTCTTCTGACGTATCCATGGATGATGATTTTTATTAATATATAACTTGGGAAAATAGAGAATCTGCAGACAAATCAGTGTTTCCTCTTAATAATAAATACATTATTGTAATCTTAATGAGCTACCCTATCACTTTAACTTAAGAAAGCTCTTCAAAAAACAGTTTAGCCATTTAATTAAACTTAGTTTTAATGGTAAATATGCTTAGTAAGTTTGATCAAAAATTTAATACTTATATTTTGTGTTTACTCACATAAACACCTAAATTGTTAAATAAATATTTAATTATTTAATAATTTGCAATGATAACAAATTACAATAGATATATCGATAAATATGCAATTCGGATAATAGAAGCCAAATTATTTAATTACCGTTAATTTATTAACGTTTTATGAGCAACTGAATTGTTTTTAAATATAGATAATATTACTATACATATAGTTATTTATATTTCAAATGTTGTAATGTCACACTCTAATCTCATATATAATAATATAGTATAACATAATATATAACATTGTTAATACAATTTATATTTTAGTTCAATATATAATACTTTAGTGTATTACATTAAACTTAAATAATTATAATATATATTATAATATAGCATAATAGAATATATTATGTATATATATATATATGTATATGGATGTGTAGCGTTTAGCAAAGCCTAAACACTACTATTCGTCAGCTAAAAAGTGCACAAAGCCAGGCTCTGAGAAGACTTTTCAAGGTACCATGGTACATTAGGACAAATGACAGGCTTACGAACAACATATTATCGAATCTCAGAATGGTTACAGGCTCCTCGGGGAGGTATGCAGATCTGAGATCAATTATTGATTAGTCTGATGAAGTGATAAACAATAATCCAGTCAAGGCGTAGAGTGGGGTTGTGAAGAAACCTCGCAGTTAATAGAGAATAAAAGTGTTCAAGTGCACTAACTCAACTAGCATCAACATAATAATATATGTATTATTATTGTATATATATATGTATTATTAATGTATATATATGTATTATTGTTATATATATATATGTCTTATAATTGTATATATATATGTATTATTATTATATACTTATATATATATGTATTATTAAATATATATATGTATATCTATTATTATATATATATATATTGTTATATTATTATTATTATATATATATTATATTTTATGTTATACAATACTGTATTATAATATATGAGCGGTGTTTCAGCAAGCGATGATCTGACCAACTAATACGCGAAAGAATAACAATGAGTTCTTCTCAGCAAAGATCTAGATCATTGTTTGCTGAAACACAGTTTTTAATAATACTACCTCGTTTATGCACTCAAACCAAAATTTATTTTGAATTTGATTAAACTGAATATAAATATAGGTTTAGTAATGGAATGTAAATGAGTAAACAAAAATGTTGATATAGCAAATAGTTTTGCCTTCAATATTAGTTAAATTTGTAGAATTGTGTCAAAATTATGTTAACAATTTTAACATAATTAACATAACAACATAGAGCACATATTATTTATTGCCTAAAAGTTTCACTGATTAAAAAATAGCACGTTTAAAATTGATATTAATTTGATTTACATTTTAATGTAAGACTTTCTGAAAATTAAGAGAGCGCGGTTGCCTGCGATACCAATATTTTTGTGTATACATTTTTGTTAAAATTGTTATATATATAACTTCTTTTTCATTCTAATATTAATGGGTAACAACTGCCGCTTCGAATTGGAACCGAACCAAATTGAAAATAAAAAAAACATATCGGTTGATTCATAATAAAACTAAATCATATTATTGTGAAGTAACATATAACTTACGACTTTTAAACTTAAAGTATAAAATAGTTCATTATCGGTGATTGAATATTAATTCATTATTAAAAGAGGAATGAAATGGTTTTTAACAAGAAACAATGTTTCCAAAATATGTTCAATTAAATTGAAAACCGATAACTGAACCGATATATATTTTTAAATTGATTAAATATTAGTTTATTTTTTAAAAATTAGTAAAATGAAATTAAACTGATAACCGAGCGGTTATATTTTTTTAATTGAATCATATATCCATTTCGTAGCCCTGTCCCATTCTTAGAAATGATTAAACTTATGTTTCCTTTGCATATATTGATAGGGTTTGCCGTACTTTACTATTATAATTGTAAGCAACAATTATTGAAATTAAAAAATAACTGAATAATTTCATATTACATTGTTTAATATGATTTTGAGTTTTTTATGATAAAACTCATTCCGTTGTCAACTTTACAATACTCACTTTACAGTTACTTTACAGTTTTAAATCTGAAGAAAGATATATATATATATTAGTATAATAATTTTTCATGAATCTTCTGTCTTTAACATTATCTATTATATATTAAGCTGTTCTGTGTCTCACTGAGAAATAATTGGGAGTGTCTTTCGAGGTATTAGTTTTCATTGCTCTCTCTCTCTTTCTTTCTCTCTTATGATTTAACGTTTACATCGAGTTAAATAATTTTTCTAATTTTTGCTTACAAATAACTTAATAAATCCCTACGTAAAGATTAAATATAATATAATATAATATTTATTTTATATATTGTTATATGTAGATTTGAATTATTCATACTTAATTATGTTATGTGCCAATAAGTGGCTGATCTTTATTTTAATTAAATGGCTAAACTGTTACAAATAACTTAATTTTTTTGAGTTTGCATAGTTATTTTAAACAATTTAAGCAAACCTACATATTTTATACGTTTTTTATATTCTAAGAAAATATTGAGATCTTTATATTGTATATTTATTTGCAAAAAGGCAGGTGAGAGCTGCGATGTGAGAATTTATGCTTTTAAATATACGCGATGCCAATTCAGTTATACTAATTATATTATGATAAATTTACAATATATAATAATATACAATATTTAATGATTAATTATTTTTAATTAATGTTTATATTAATTAATATTAATGTTAATATTATAATATTAATATTATATTTAATTAATATTTTAATTAACGTTTAATAGCTCATATTTTATCACACTAGCGCGATGTTAGCTATATACTTATACATTAAAAGTTAAAATATTAAATAAGAATAGTATAAATTACTTTTTCTTTAAAAAAAGGTTTTTGTCAATTAGTTTTTAAATTACTTTACTAACAGAAAACTTACTCAAAAATATGTTTGTATTTATTTCAGTAAATAATTTATATATTTAAAAAGTATCATTTTATATATAACACATTTAATATTTATAAACGTTTTTTTTTCCTTTAAATAACAATTAAGATTTTTTGAATATGTCACTGTATGATCTATGATCTTGTAATAAAATATTTAAAAGTATTATCATTATAGTTAAAACCTGTGTTTGATGTTTTCCTCAATATCTTCAAATTTTAGTAACGACCAAGGCTTTGTACAGTGTTAACATTTTTGTTTTTAAAATTCAATTCATTTCCTTTCACTTTCAATTCACACATAAAATGGTATCAAATAATGGACTTTTGGAATCATACTTTATTTTGTTGTAGCTCGCAAGGGCCAATAAAATAGACAACATGAAAGGAATTACAAGACGATGTCAGAGTTACATGGGTTTAGGATGTGAATAGATATTGATAGTGTGGGAGGAGTGGGGATTATTTAGAAGTGAAAATGAATCGGGGGACTAAATTCTAATCATTAGAAGTAACTGAAGAAGCTAGATAGCCGGAATAGCTTTTAAATAGGAAATACATATACGGCTAATGTTAAAATAAACATGCAGCTGTTGGCCGTTCTTGGAAACTAATCATACTCCATATAAGGTGTAAATTAAATATATGTAAGTACGTTTTTTGCCAGAAATTAGTAAGATATGACTTTCTTTCTCAGTATATATGGTGAGAATATATATATAATTAGAATAAATGATCCATCGTTTCAGTTAATTATTTTTTCAATCTGGGTAGTAACTGGAAACTATTTAGAAAACAATCTGGAAACTAATCATACTCTATATAAGGTGTAAATTAAATATAGGTACGTTTTTTGCCAGAAATTAGTAAAGATATGGCTTTCTTTCTCAGTATATATGGTGAGAATATATATATAATTAGAATAAATGATCCATCGTTTCAGTTAATTATTTTTTCAATCTGAGTAGTATGAAATCCGGAAAGAATAGCGCCAAAAAGGCCATACTTGCACGCATAAACAAAGTGAACGGCTCATACGGTCAGCTAAAAAGGATCAGATACTTGTCACTGTTATCAACACACAATAAACTTAGAATTTTTAAAACAAATGTCATCCCAGTGTTATTACATAGTTCTGAAACTTGGTTCACAGCAGAAACAATAATACAGAAAATACAAAGGTTTGTATACATACGCCTGAGACGAATTATAAAAGTTTGGTGGCCAAATGTTCTAACCAATAAAGAACCGAAAATGCAATATCGAGCCAATAGCAAACTTCATAGAATGACGCAAATGGCGCTGGATTGGCTATACGCTTCGTAAGTGTTGTCGGTTTTGAATGTGCAGTGATGCATGAAGATAAAATGTCGTATACCTTTAGTGCAATATCTGTAATAAGGCAATGATGTATACTGTCATCCGTGCTATTTTTATTCGTCATTGATGCTGTTTCTAAACGTGCAAAAATAATGACCGTGGCATCGTATGGAGCCCTGTAGACCCAAATGATAGAATCCTTGAATTATGCAGAGGATAAATTGGCACATCGTTTTACCGACATGCAGCGAAAACTTAAAGATCTGGAAGCGGAAACGGCAAAAGTTGGGTAAAAGTTTAGATCAATACACAAAAAGCAAAGAAATGCGAAATACAACATGTAATGAGCGACTCGAACTTCAATCGTGAAACAAGTTAATGTATTTCAATACTTGGGAAGTGTAGTAGCTATTGATGGTGACACTACGCAGGACGTGTGGGCAAGAATACGAAAGGCGATTGGCGCGTTTACAAAGATAAAGACAGTATGGAGATCTAGCTTTTACAGGTTAACGACGAAAGTTAACATTTTCAAAGCGTGTGTTTTATCCGTGCTGCTATATGGTTGCAAAATATGCCTCGTAACCGAGATAGTTCAAACAGAATGGTACCTTCGGAAAATATTACCCATCTTTTGGCCAAACCGAATTTCAAACCAACAACTGTGGGACAGAACGAATACAAACGACATCAACATAAATATCCGCAAGAGAAAGTTTGGCTGGATTGGTCACACCTTACGAAAACCGTCAAGTGAAGTTTGTTGTTAAGCCCTTACGAATAATCCGCAAGGCAGTAGAAGAAGAGAAAGGCATAAGATTACCTGGAGCAGATCAACACTAAACGAAATCAACAGCCAATCCACACGCCTTGGCAAATCGTACATCAATTTTGTTGATCTCAGAGAAGTGGCAGTAAGAAGGCAAAGATCGAGCTAATTTGAAGATAGTCTATTTGATTATAAAACCATCAAATATCTATAGAATTTACAACCCACTGTTGTCGTTAGTAGTTCTACTCTCAGATTTAAAGTAATAAATTAAATTAAATTAAAATAGAAAATAATTATTAATTTTTATTGAACTAAAATATTGCATCAATGATAGACACCAACCTGGCTTACGTCGGTTTCAACTCAGATCATGAATAAAGATCAAGAATGAAAAGTCAAGCAGACTTTATATTTAAACTTTTGCATTTCAATATAAATCTTAATCCAATATCGAGGTCGCAAACTTTTTTATCAATAAGAACTCTCCTAAAAAATTACGCTGTTATCCCTAAAATAACTTCACTTAGTCATAAATAAATGATAAAAATAAAAGTTCTTTAAATTTCAATATCACCCCAATAAAATTATTTAAAAACTAATTATACAAACAACAACCTTTAATAAGATATATCAAAAAATGCTCTTATATATTTAAAAATTGACTTTTTATATACATATACTTCATCGCTAATAGTGAATTGTTAAGAGTTAATGAAATACTTTTGATATTTATATATGATGTTTCGCCGTTAAACCAAACACGCAACCCTATGTAAGGATGGAAATTTGTGCAAAAAGCTCGGCTGAATAGTATAAAAAGCGGCGCATTGTTAAAAACTGGGTGTTGTATTACCACTAGATACGCCGGTGTTCGGTCACCGTCCATCAAGATAGTATTACAAAAAAAAATATATAATAATAATTCCATATTCTTTGTCTTAAGGCGGTCTTACTTCATAGTACTTGGAAAATATTATATATATGCGAAAGCACATTATTTTAATATATATATATATATAAATTATATACCATAAATATAAAATACTTCCAAGTATGAAAGCGGTCTTCAGTCAAAGTACTTGGAATATATTTCCTTAAGTACAAATACCTTCCTTCTCATAAAAATTAAAACATACAGGTGGCAGAATAGCACGTACAGCAGGTGTCAAGAATCGTGGAATCAAGGATAATGCGCATAAAGACAACAACAATGAATTAGATTATTTAAGAGAGCATTCCTAGATCGAATTGACATGAATATTTTTTTTTTTTGAGAAACTCTGTTCCTGAAAATGTACATTTATTGAAATGATTTTGGACGACGGCTAAGTATATCCCAGCAATAATAAGGACCAAAGAATCCGTGTCTTTACTACGATAAACAAGTTTCTCATATATATCTATGTAAAAGAACTATCTGAAGTCTTTACAGAAAGTAATAGAGCGAAGAGGTTAGCATCTCACACTTACATATTTCTATTATATGGATGTGTAGCGTTTAGCAAAGCTTCAAACAACATTATTCGCCAGCTATAAATTGTACAAAGCCAGGCTCTGAGAAGACTTTTCGAAGTACCATGGTACTTTAGGACGAATGACATCTTCACGGAGCTCAAGATTGATCCCATCAAAAAATACATAAATGATAGAGACCTGAAATTATTTGCGAAAACTAACAGACTTACCAACACCGCGTTATTAAATCTCAGAATGGTTACAAGCTCCTCGGGGAGGTATGTAGATCTGAGGTCAATTATCCAGTCAATGCGTAAAAAGGGGTTTTGAAAATACCACGAGTTAAGCTTCAACATAATAATATTATATATATGTATATATAATATATAAGTAATATGTATTACAGATTATAATAACAAAAGTGCTGGTATTAATCAAAGTTAATAAAGAAATATATGTATTTTAAATAAAATTTTTTATATTTTTTTACAGTATTTTATTTCAATATTAATATATTTATCATTACATTTTAATAGTATTATTATTATTATTTTTCTTTTTGAAACAAATTAATTTTATATTTATTTTACGTTTATATTACAAAATTAAATGATAGTTTAAAAACAAGAAACTAAATTAATTTAAATTAATAAATATATAAATGTGTATATTCGTTCTCTTATACTAACGCATCTGATGCGTATGAGTTCTTCAATATCTTCAATAAATAAACTATAAATTGTACAAGAAAGTTTTTAACATTGAAAATTTGTATACAGCTTTTTTTCAGATTTTCCTGTATAAATTCCGCAATTATTATTCTGTTATTAGCATTAACATTGATAACGTTTTTAGGCGTGTTATTTTCTTATTATTTTCTCTGGTTTTCTTATTTCACTGCGTAATATATACATATATTTGAGTTTGAAAAGCATAGGCAAAATAAAAAAAAACAAAGAAAAAAAATTTGCAACAGCAACAATGTTGTTATGTGTACTATAGGAGTTTGTTTGCATGTATAAAATGCATTTAAGTGGACAATGTGAAATGCTTATCTGTTAAAGTGAATAATTGAAAAATGAAGTCATGTGAGCGAATTATTGATTGGAATATAATTATTTGTGTTAAGTGTATATCAAAAGTCCACTATTTGAAAAAAGTCCACTGAGTAGTGAAAAAATGTTCAGTATTTGTTTTATTTACTTTAGTAAATGATGTGAGATATATTTATAAAACCAAATAGTACAATATACATATTTATTCACATATTTGTTAGTGATGAGTAGCAAAAGCTTGTTTTTAATGAAAAACACATTTAAAGTTTGGAAATACATATATTCTGAATAGCTACTTCAATTGATTATTTCCACTTAAGCTACTGTCACTAGGAAGGATGTAGTAATATGGAAATAATATGTATAAAATATTAAATTTGAAATCGGTCGGTTCTCATTTAAGTTTAATAATTAAATCACTTACAATTATGTATTAACACAACTTACAATTAAGTTACGTATTTTAACTCTATGAATTCTTCAATTTTATTTTACTTCATCTTTGTGAAGTATTAAAAGAGTAGTTTTTAATATTTCTCAAAGTTTCACTCTTGAGCGCTTAAGTAAGAATTAAACTTAAATTATTAAGTCAGAAAACACAAATCAAAGAACAATTTCACGAATTCCCTAATATGTTAATGAAAATTAAGTATACTAACTAATAAATAAAAAAAATACTTCGATAGGATCATATATAAAAAGTATGTTATATATAAAGTTTCTCCCTACATAATAAGAATTGACTTAAATAAGATATAATTATAGTGATATAGGACTATGTACTGCGCGAATTCGACATTATGAAAACAAACATTTTAAATATATATATGAAATTATTTATACTAATTAATTAATTAAATAAGTTTCAAATGTTCAAACTTTTAGAATACATAAAAAGCGAATTGATTGGTACATGTTCAATATATTTGAATACAATAAATGGAGAAATAAATTTAATCAATTTTAACAGCTCCATAAATTTTTCTTATAAAACTGTATGCTGCAAAGAAGCCAATTGTCCCTGTCAGCAACCAGAAGGTTAAGACCATTAAACCTGTAAAAAAAAAGGAAAATTTGAATTAAAAAATTTAATTTTGTTAATATATCGTTTTTTAATATATTACAGCAAATACATTATATGTATCCAAAAATTTATTATTGTTTTCTTTATATAATAAACACGATATTCATAATTTTCTGACTTCTGATAATTTTCTGACAACAGTACTCTATTATGATGACTTCTGTAAAAATATTTATGATAGAGTACAGAGTTCTCTCTCTCTGGTATTATAATAGGACACAGTCATCCAAAGTGTCATTTTGCAAGAAACTATGAGGGAGGTCATGTGAAGCAAAATTGTGATTATAACATTTAATAATCAGTGCGAAAGGTGTGATAAAACAAATCTGACACAATTCCAATTTTCCGTGCAACTTTTCGTACTACGGTATATATGTTAAACAGACATCAATACTTGAGTCCAATTCAATGTTATAAGATAGTAAGATAGTAGATAAAACAGCTCTTTTTCAAATGCACTTTTAAATATACAAAAAGAGAATTCATTAATTATATCCGTTTTGTCAAAATATTTAAATATACAAATAATGTCTCATATTAGCTGTACCCAAATAAGGATATGTTATTAAAAATATATAAATAATTATTATAAGTGGATTCCTACTCTTTATCCTATCAGAAAAGGGTGGAAGTCGGAATCTGTGACAAGTTGCCCTGGAGTAACCATTTACATGGATATCTTAAAGAAGAGAGATACCAATGCGGTCATCAATTCAAGGACATTCAACTACGACAGTCATACCGTTTTACTGGTACCAACAGTGTTTTTCAAGCTGACACATTCCTAATTGGAATAGCAGGCAGACTAAAACTAGTTTGTATAATTCGCTTTCAAATATTACTATCTTTGACAGAATTGTTTAACCGACGATTGTAATGACATGTCTTGACTAGTTCAACGTCACAAGTCCTCTTTTTTTGAGTTCCTGAACATAAAAATTTCTCATTTAACAAACCATGATAGGAAAATGCTTTAAAACGGTCCATGGTATCTATCAATCACTTTGTATGCCTTTGCCTAGGACTGGAAATAAAGCAGTTTTCATATCTAGAAAAGCGTTTCTTCACTTGAGTGTCAGAGATAACCAAGATAGACTAACTTGATCAGTAATGTCAGTGGTAGACAGAGTGAGATGTCTTTGGTTAGTCAGTGGTACAGAGTGGTACTGTATGTCTTTGGTTAGGACTGCAAACAAAGCAGTTTCCATATTTAAGAGATCGTTTCTTTATTCGCCTGCCAGAGATAATAAAGATTGGCTTATCTGATTTTCTTAAGATTATCAAAGAACAAATATTTTGACAAAACTGTCCCCAAATGGTTTAACACGGCAAAATTGTCTATAGCACTTATAACACGTCACTTATTATAAATTTTAAAAAATGAGAAACTTAAAATGATACATGAAAATATCCATGACACTCACAATTATTATTAATTTACAGCTGCTTGAGTTACGCCTCTTTTGGTATTTGTAAAATTATGTTACAAATTCAAATTCATGTTTAGTTACTGTTTTTTGTTTAAAAAAAATCCACAAAATCCCTGCGGTTACTTGAATATTTAAAGCCACTTTATTGCACAAAAAATAACCTTTTTTGAGTGGTTTCCTAAACTTGGACGTGGCCGTACAAACATCGAACATTGTTAGTTTCCGAATCTTGTAATTATGAAATTCAAAAAGATGTTTCTACTTGCACTAACATTTGATGCTGTGAAAGGTGCTTTCCACATAGGTACGATTTCAGTTGCGCTTCGAATTATTTCTTCATCGATCGCTAGTCTCAAAAGAAATATTCCAGGGAATGAGATGTAATTTCAATAATAAAATCATATTCGAAACAAATGCCTACTGAGTCTAAATTCATTCCTTTGGACATACATAAAAACTCGAGAGAATTATTGCAGTTTTTAAATATTGCTTTAAAAGGGGAATGTGTTTCACCATTTCGCTACCACATTCTTCGCATGAACCCCTAATACAGAAGAGTAGGGACTAAATTCATCCCGTCGAATTTAATAATATAATAATAATAATAGGTCTTTTTCTGGGGCCAAAGCCGGACAGTCACAGTATTATGAATTCTTTTTTGTGGTCCTATACACCAATGACCAGAAAGAACTGCAGTAAGTCTTGCAGTGTTCACGCCGTTTCTTTTGATGAGTTCCGAGCATCTAATTTTAATATAGGTGAGCCATGTTAACTTGGAAGTTGAACATGACTTAAATGCGTTTTATCTGTTATTAGAAAGTTAAAGAAAGTAGAAGTAGGTACTTCAGCATCAGAACGGGTTAAACTGTCAGCGTTCTCATTCCCTCCAATGTTCCTATGTCTAGGAACTAAGATGAGGGTCATCTAACCGATTTAGTTCGTCGATTGCTTCTGTACATTCTTTTACTATCTTTGATTTTGTTGTAAAGGATTCAGGGATGTGTATTACTTATAAATTTTTTAAATTTAATTTTTACAAAAAAAAAAAACTTTCTTTTATTAGCTTTAGGAATTTATTTAATAATTATTTATCTTATATTACTTACCTGTATATCCCATGTATAGAAGTATTGGTATAAATTCTGTAATTGCTAATTTGGTAAAAAAGTAAAATATACTATAAAACAGAACATAAACAGCTGAGCCACCAGAAACGATAAAACTGCGCCACCACCAACGGTAATCCTGGAAATAGAAAATTAAAATAAATAGATGATAAAGTTAATGTTTGTAAGTGACTTACTTCACCACATAATTGAAAATATGTCATTACAATTGAAATTTGGCCGCAACTCACTACCAGAATGCAAAACACCAGAAACAAGAAACCAAACAAATAATAGAACTGATTTTGCCAAATTGCAGTAAATACGAAAAACAGTTCAATGAAAACAGCTCCAAATGGTAAAATTCCAGCCATTAAAGTACTAACAAGGCATATATTTTAAATGTTCTCATGATATGTCAAAAAGGTACTTACCTAAGAATTATATTCATATACCAATGTTGAACTGGTACTTGTCTAGGAATCATATTAGTACGGACAGGATGTTGATAAGGTTGTTTTCTATAGCCAAAGTAATAGCCTAAATAGACTAAAGGTACAGATATACCAAACCATAATAAAAGTAATGAGATCATTGTTGTAAATGGCACTGCACCACTCGATTCTTTATCCCAAATAAAAAAATTAAGTATAAATCCAGTTCTAGAGAAGGAATAAAATCAATATTATACAATGACGTTAATGTAATATTTATAAATAACATTTTTTTTATAAAAACAAAAAAAAACATGGCTTTGACTCAAACAAAATTTTAATTCTCTTCACACAGATAATTACATTAGAAGTCAATTTTCGGTATTTTCTTACTACATTTTTTCGTGCATTCTTTGAAATTTGGATTTGTCGATGAAAAATATAATGAACATACATATATATTTTAGAAGATAAACTTGTTTTCACTGGATGTGTTCTATGAACGCTACATGTTAGCCAACCAATTTCGTGCATTTATCGATTTGATCTACCTAACAGAGTGATAGAAGAATTTCGCTAAATAATACGTTTTGTCATGCTGATAAAGAGTATTTATGGTTTTTATATTGTGCGTTACCTTAGCATATAAACGTCTAATATGTTTCAAACATTTTGACACTAAATGTTTGAAGAATATAATATCATTACAATTATACGATGTTGAAATTAAATTTAATGAATTCAACATAAGAAAGTCTTCGGTATAAAAAGTTGTTTAAGAAATGCTGAATTTTATATAATTGCTATTGATTAAAAACCATATATTTATATTTTATTACCCAAAAACTATTCCTGGATACAGAGTAGCCGATAAAAATGCAGACTTTTTCCATTCACGCCCCTTCATTGTTTTATATAATCTTGCTGCGAAATACCCAGCAATTGTTCCCATGAAAACATACATAAATATACCAGATGTCATAAGAGCTCCTCGTGATGATGGTGATAACATACCCAGCATGGCAAAAACTATAAGTAAAATAAAATTAAAATCATATTTGAGATTTTTTTATAAAATACATACAGATAGTTATTAAAGCCATAAAAAATATTTGTATTCCACTTCCAATAACAGCTGAAAATAAACGTGTATTTTTGGGTGGACGGAAAACGTCGCCATGCACTAGTTTCCATCCGGTTTCTTCAAGTGTATCTTCAATGTTGTCATCAGTATTATAACGCGCGATATCCCGACGAAGAGTTCGTATCATTATCATTGTCAAAATACCTAAACATAATTAAAAATGAAACGAAAATAAAATGCTTTTGTTTTTTAAAAATATTCAATTATCGGCGTTGGTCATCTACTGACCATTTAATCTATGTACGAACCAATGCCATTTCTGTACCACAATGAGCCATTATTAAAGCTCAAGTGGGCTCTTGGACACAAGGCCACCAATCCAAACTCAACTAATATATTCAATTAGGTTACGTTATGTTAGCGATCTAAAGGATTTACTTAGGCCTATTGGTCAGATAAAGAAAACTTGTGTTGTCAGATAGGGAAAACTATATTGTACCTTTGGCAAAACTTAAAATGCTTTTTAGTGGAGTTGGAGTTGGCTAAGATTCTCAAAAAAAAGACACAGATATGATATGTGTATTAATAAACGTATTACATTCTCAGATTAGATTCTATGCACAAGAAATAAATAAACTCACGCAATAAAAATTAAAAGAAAAAAAAAGAATATAAAGAGAATAGTCTATAAAAAAGAATATTATTGAAATTTAACAATTAAAAATAAAAATATAATTTAGTAAATTAATTATTCTACAGCCGGTTTATGATTTCGTTCTAGTATAACACAGCAAGTGAATTTGTTAATGCACTTTTACAACAAATTAACAAAATACTCCAAGTTCGAACAAGACTTGTATGTACGACTTTAGGTCAGTTGTATAATTAACACTGACTCTGACCTTCAATTTTGGCAGGGTAAGCGTTCAACCCTTGGTTTTTTCAGTCTCACAAAATTATTTAAAAATAAGTAAATACAAGAAATATTTCCAAAAAGTCCAGTAATGATGGATGTTTGACAATACCCCAAACTGTATTGTTTCAATTAAGCAACATGGTTTCTTTCGTCATAATTAATTTTAAAAATCAAATTTAATTTTTATTTTAATATAGAATGCTCTATAATAACTCAGGTTCTTGGATAGATATTAAAAAGTATCTCCAGTTCAAATATAATTATTTTAATTTCATAAGTAAGAAAGCATTTTAAGAACATTTGATAAGAAAAAGTCTATCTGAACGCATTCAGTACAATAAACTAGAGCTTCGACTGGAACTGAACCATTAAACGAAAATGAAAAAAGCCGACATTGGCTAGAGAGAAAACCGAACCGAAAATATATCGGTTTATTTCGGTTAAACATCGCACAGTTCCATATCAGCATATATACGAACATTGCTTTTCAGTTGTTAGATCTTTAATAAATGAAAGCTATAAGTTCAAAAATATTTTTTTTAATCTTATAATTTTAATTATTATTTAGTGAAAAAAAAATTGTTTAACATGATTAAAAATAATTTTTAATACAGAATTTATAAGATTATTTATGTGGAACTGAACCGAACACCAAAACAAGCCAATATTTTTGCCGAAGCGAATAAAGAAACTGAATCGATATATAATTCTTTCAATTAATCCGAAACAAATAAATTCCATTTCGAAGCCCTATAATAAGGTTTTTAACTAACTTACCAGATAAAAAGAAAACAACAACCAGAGAATTAATAATGCTAAACCAATGAATTTGAACATCTTTCATGCCAAGATATATGTCCCAACGTGATGCCCAGCTTACTTGGGATTCTTTCCATTCAACGGAATATGTAAAATACAGCTTGGTTTCGCCATCTTGGTTAACCTTTCAAATGTAAAATTCATTAAAACATAAAAAAAGATTAACTTTGACTATTCTAAAACTTAAACACACTTCACACAATTATGTAGAATTTACATTTACAAGTTTTCTAAATTGAAATCCTCTGAAAACCTTTATAAATCTAAAAAGAGCGTTACAGTTTTTAGTGCTAATGTTTAAAACTTATAAGAATAAAGTTACCCGAAAGCAAAATACGAAAAATTTAATCAAATGAAAGAGTTGCTCTTAAAGAACTTTTACCTGAACTTTCATTTAATGAAACAGATTCATATAAATATATATTTAAATCTATTATAAATATTCAGTAATAATACACTTTAAATCTATTATAATACAGTGAAAACTTTACCAACGGATACTCCTTTTGAGCAGACAATTTTTCTAAAACGTAGATTTTGTTTTTATTATAATTTAAAAACTTCTTCGACGAAGTTGGCAAAATTTAGCTACGATGAATGCTCAATTAAGAGTTTGTACTATATTATTTTTCTTAACAAAAATAATAAAACTTATATACGATCAGTTAATTGAAAACTGTTTTGCTATGAAAACTGTTTTGTCAGATCGTAAACAATTCGAGATATGTGTCATAAGCTCTTATAAATATTGATCGGACAAATACTTCTTATTTCCGTTATGATATATTACTTCTTCTCACAAGGCGTATTTGTTTAATCATCTATCTAAAACTATGTCAAACACGTATTTAATTTAATATGCAATTTTCTCACTTTGTGTGAAATGCGAATTTATAAGTAAGAGCATAAATATCTTACCATTTGTGGACGCGCATTATCTGGATAATTGCAAGAGTCCCCTTCAAATTTGATTTCGTTGAAATTAATTGAAGAGGTTTCAACTTCAAAGCCAACCACACGGTACTTATTTCTTTCAAAAAAATAAAATCAATCAAATTTTCAAGTATTTAATAGGTTTTATATTTACATACTTTGTATGCATGTGATAGGATAATATGAACTTTAAATGATTGTTAATGTATACATTGCCACCCTCCATTTGGCCTAAGCGATATCCATGTTCGTAGCTAATCTCATTTCGATTATTTGGGTTGACTATTCTAGTCGCTACTGGTAAATTATCTACAAGACTAGAAAATAGTATTAAAATAATAAATTTAATTGAAGAGTAATTGCATTCATATTATTACAGATGTACAAAGTATTCATGACGTATGCGCTGAGCAACTAGTGATGATTGTGGCTTATCCCAATTTACCGGTAGGCCCTTTGCATTGCACAATAATTTACAATTTATATTTTCTGCCATTTGAAGTTCATATGGCGTATTCACAATACGATCGCCACGTAAAACTTCACCAAGATTTTCCGACTTATATATAAATGTGCCATTTTTTGGTTTACAGAATTGCAGTGAATAATACATATAAGGTAACTGTGTCCGACTACTAGTCATTTTTACCGCCTTAACATCGATTTTTTGACCAGGCACAAACTCGACGGGCGCTACACCAGGAACATAAAAACAATGATTTCCACATATTATTGTAAGCAGCAGTAACACTTTAATGTAGCACTAAAAATGAGAACTTATTTTTAAATCTTTTCAAACATAACTTATATTCAATGCAAACACTTAAACAATGTCACATCAGCTTGACGTGTCAAAACCGACAGACTTTTATTTGCGCAAGAACTCATATTCTACTTTAACATAACATCTATTTACCTGCATTTCCGAAACAACACCGAAATAATTATAATATTTCCTGAGAAAATGTGTTAAGATTTATATATTTATACAACCGTAACAAAAAAGAAATAAGTCTTCTAAGTCTGCATATTTTCTTGTGTGGACATCAAAACATTAAATATTTATCATCCACTATTATGTCCCACATTGGACACAGTTTATGCGACACTTGCAAAAATTTCATAAAGAGATAATATTAAAACATAGCATATGAATTAGGGATTAAATATTTTTTTTTATATAAATATCTCTGTTACATATTCCTTAAATTTTATTCCGATGGTACAAACATTAAATTTTAATTACCTAAAATTGCTAATTGAGGGTCGAAAAATATAAAATTTAAACATAAAGCGTACTCAAGTCAATTACGGCGTTTACATTGTGAGATTAAGAGAACGAGATTAAGTTAATTTGTATATTTAATCTCCACCGTTTACATTATATAACATATTGGAGATTAATTTTGACGTTTCTCTTGTTGTGTTTTGTTTCGTGTGTTTGATAAATTTCTGTAAATAAAGCATTTAATTACAACTTTGTACAAAAAATTGTAAAATAAATTAAAGAAACAGTTTTATAACAATAATATAATAAATTTTAGTTATATTTATGTATAAAAGTATTATTAAACAAATTTATAAAAAATTTACTCATTTCGGCATTTTAAAATTTTTCAATGTTTGTTTTGAATAGATTTTGGCATTGCTTTTCCAATTCTTACAAGATCGTAAAAAAACTTCGATGTTAAGCCATTTGCAGAGTTGCACAGAAAAATAATCACCATTTTTTCTAAGAAGATTAAAAATAAATCGCGACCAGAAGGAGATTAACTTTTGTTAATATCACTGATGTACTTTACACATACCATATTTCGCCGAACTGAAATATGTTTAAATATGTGTGCTCGCAGTGTAGGTACTTATAATTAAATTCAAGTAAAAAGTTAATTAAATTTACTATTCACCATATTACAAAGCCTACTTGAATTTTATTTAATTAGTTTGAATTCATACATTCGAATGATTTCATTGTCTTGCCTTTGATGACTAGCTAAATCCAAATGTACTATTATAGAATAAAAAAAGAACTAGAGCTAAGCTTACTAAAAAGCCAAATCATTACGTCGCAAAAACACATAGATCTACCACATCGTACGTAAACATAGAAAACCCGATAACTTACAAAGTATCGGTGGTTGTTCATGAGATCGCCAAGAACTCACTGATTTTGAAAATTATTGATTGTAGTGCACCCATTAAGACAGAAGTCTCAAAAACCAGCACTAAAAATGATAAATAATTATTGGTATATTTCATCGACACCGAAGATGAAGACAGTCCGATAAAGCTGAAAAATACGGTTCAATCATCACAACGAAATCCTGACGCACCGACAATTAGTCAACCAAGAACTTATATAACATGTGGTTTATAAAATTTTGTGACGCTATTCATTTTACTGGTCATCTTTAAAGAACTTGCATGGATTAATAAGAAATTTAAGCGTGGTTTGAATGTCACTACAGATGGCTGTGCACCTTCCGTGTCATTTCTTCAGGATAATCCAGCAAGATACTTTCCATACGGAATAAACTTGTGCTATTAAGAATGTTGTCATATATATTTTATCGTTTAATATGAGTCTTCCATGTAAGCTTACTACCCAACATCACTTCTAAATACTCCACTTTAAAAGATAACTATAACGTTAACTCTTCTAAAACAGCCGGCAACAGGCATGTAAAACTTTTAATGCATATGAAGCTTTTTGCATAATATGAGTCCTTCATGCGAGCTTGCCATTCAAGATCATCCAAGACGATCATAAAACTATGTCCAATATGCGTTATGCAGATATTTATCAAATACTCGCCATCCTGTGTCTGGACCGTAATCAAATTATTGAAAATAATTAAATCGATAAAGTACTGCATTTTGTTTATAACAAAAATCTGGATGATGCTAATGCTTTAAATGACCAGCCTTGTAAAAAAAAAGAAATCTGTTTGTTAAGTATTGTACTAACCCATATTGTGTTCTAAAAGTTTTCATCACAACTGAAAACAAATTACGAGTTCATGTAGAGACAACCAATTGCTACCAAACTTTAAAAGTTCTTAGAATAATATTTGCATACTACGATTTATAAATCATACTATTTCAGATTTCTTTTATTTAATAGTTTCATATAAGGATGAAGGAGGCATTTATAATGTATGGCACTCAGTATCAGCTCATTTCATATTCATTAAGACTAAGAAGTTCAAATCATATCCGTCTGTCCATCCTAAATTTATACATGATTTTTCAACATCATTTACCTTAACTATATTAGGGGTGTTCACGAAAACACATAAACTATCAGATTGTTAGTATCAGATTCACTATCAAACCTTCCAGATTCGGCAAGAATGATAGAACACAAAGCTGAACAGAAAGGAAATCCGTACAACTGACTACTATCGCACAGTATCTATCGGGTTATGCATATTTTCGAAAATAGAATAAAATAGGTGAAGTTGATTATAAGCATATTTTACGATACTGGGAGGATGTATCGTAAATTTTACCATACATTTTTACGATATTTTAGTCTGTGAGGTTGGTTTAACGGTGCATAATACATTCACAAAAAAATATAATATAATATAAAATAATATAACATAATAAATAATATAATTATATAAAAATAATATAACATAATATAATATAATATAATATAATATAATATAATATAATATAATATAATATAATATAATATAATATAATTATAATATAATATAATATAATAATAATAAATTAAAAAAAATATAATAATAAATTTAAATAAAACATAATATAATAATAAATTAAAATAAAATATCATAACAAATTGAAATTAAATATAACAATAAATTATAATAAAATATATAGCAATATAATATAATAAAAAATATTGAAATATAATAAAATAAAAAATATAGAAATATAAAATAATAAGAAATATAGAAATATAATATAATAAAAAATATAGTATAATATAATAAAAATCTAGTGATATAATATGATAACATGTATAGTAATATAATATAATAAACACTATAGTACTATGACATAATATAATATAATAAATAATATAATATAATAAAAAAAAATATTAAAATATAATAAAATAAAAAATAAAGAAATATAAAATAATAAGAAATATAGAAATATAATATAATAAAAAATATAGTATAATATAATAAAAATCTAGTGATATAATATGATAACATGTATAGTAATATAATATAATAAACACTATAGTACTATGACATAATATAATATAATAAATAATATAATATAATAAAAAAAAATATTAAAATATAATAAAATACAATAATAAATGAAAATAAAATATAATTATAATATAATATAAAATATAATATTAAATAAATATAATATAATATATAAATTAAATAAATATAATATGTATATAATATATAATAATATATAATATAATATATAAAAATATAATAATATAAAATATAATATATAATATTATAAAATAAAATATAATAATAATATATAATAAATATAATATAATATAATAATATATATGTAATATATAATATAAATATAAATATAATAATATATAATATAAAATATATAATATATAATAATATATAATATAATATATAATATATATAATATATAATATAAAATATATAATATATAATAATATATAATATAATATATAATATATAATATAATATAAATTATATAATATAATATAATATATATAATACTAATATATGTAAAAAAGTTTTCAAATTTATTTATTAAACATCTTAAAAAGTTTTCATAATGGTAATACCTAATTTACCCTACTCGAAATTCTGGTAAATATCAATTTCGCTGCCATATCGATATAAATTATTATTTTCTTCAATTTACCATCAATTTACTCGAACTCGTACACAGCCTAACTTAAAATAATATATAAAAATGCATATCTTTGCCGAATTTTTGGTGTGGCAGGTTAAGAACAGAATATCTCTAAATAATGTTATTTGATATACATGCAATTTATATTGCCACCTGTTAGAAACGTCGATGTAACGCAAACAGGGTTGTCTGCATATAAAATTTGGGAAGCGTTTATCATTATAAAATACATGTAAAATATGTTTGTTTGTGTGTTAAGTAGAGAAATAATTGTATTATTCTGATCAAGTATAACTCAATTGCGTTAACTTTAAAATTATTATTAGCAATAAAACTAACGAAAGTTAAAGTATCTTTTTTTATGTCTTGATTTAATGTAAATATTAGATAAGGAAACCTGAATTATAAAAAGAAATTAAATTCTAGAGCAGCTATAAAAAATGCCTATAATTTAGTTGAATTAATAAAATTGGTGTATTTTAGTGTAAAATAACATATATAAAGTTAAGTTTTGTTTTGTATACTGTAATTACATATGCCAAGCAGAAAAAATATACGTTGTTTAGTATATGAAAAAAAATTTGCTGCACAACAATTGAGGACAAATTGGGTAATATATGAATTCCATCAGTTAAAAATTAAATTTACTAAAATTGGTTTTGGTTAAATAATTACAGGTGAATGCTATATAGCTCACAAAACTTTTAATTTTATAACCTTTTCACATTAACATGGACAACAGATTACAAGCTACAGAGGATGACGATAGCGACAATGATATAGTCACTGATTTTATTAATTCCAATTGTTTGAACAGAACTTCTACCGAAATCACAAATCCCACAGTTGCCCAAATTTCAAACACAAATAAAAATTCAACAAATTCAAATAATTTCTGCATTGAGAGCAAAAATTATTGTATGCCTATAATACAGGCGCCTCTTATTTCTTATAATAAAAGTGTAATTAACAATAACATGATACCTATAATAAACGTAACACCACATAGTCCAGCATCGGCTACTAAATACAATAACATATTCGAGGATACTCTTAATCAGTTGCAAAATATACGTGAAAGTGTTGTGCAAATGAAAAATTCCAGTGTACATATGCATGACGTTGCTTCTAATTATGGATTAATGAATGGAGCTGTTTTAAGCACATCCCTACCAGATTTGAGTAGTGGAAATGTAAGTGTCAATGGCCCAAATTTTGCTGTGTGGTCAACGCAACAACAATATTTGCTTAACACTGATCGTCGTAAGTCATGGACAGCTGTGGATGATTTAACTGCGGGTGACTGCACAAACAAAAGTGTTAGTTTATCAAGTCTTGACAGCGAAGAACAGGAAACAATGCGTGTTGCCGAACAACGTAGAAGATCGACTCGAAATAGTACAGGAGGTAAGAGTATATATTTAAATGTTGTGCTACGCCGAAAATACGTCTTTCAGAGTCAAAAAATTGTTTTTAGCTCGCAATGTATATTTATACTTTATTTTTAAAAAAATTTGTTTGCGTAACTTGGAACTTATTAACAATTTCTTTTCTGTTCTTTTATAAATATTGAAATATATATTGTTATAAATACAAAAACTAATGTAAAAGTAAAATGTAAGTGTGGTTCTCACAGGCAAAATAAATGATTGCGTTTAGGATAAGATGACCAAAATAAATGAAGAAATCGCATAGTTCTTTAAATGAAATTTTGACGAATATATGGAAAGAAAATGCGATGATTCTTTGAATTAAATTTCTGTTGTTGTTGTTCTAGCCCGCAGGGATCTGCTTGTGTGACACATTTGGGGGATGTTGAACAGTGCTTGGTGGTCTTCGACGAATGGATATCGTTCTTGAAATTAAATTTCTAATCCAATTTGGTTAAAAAAAAAATAATATAATGATATAAGTACATAGTACACGATGGAAAGTTGGTTGAAAATTTTTAAGCAATAATATCTAGACTATGTATATTCCATACGCTTAATAGATGCGGTACTAACAAATACAAATAATATTTTTCTAAGTCTTAATATAAATCTAAAACGAATATTATTTTGATTTTGATGACAATAAATATAATAATGAATTTTGAAATTATTGCAATTCCATTTAGGTTTTCCGAATAATTATTTGCAATATAATGAGATTGTATGAACCTTCTTCCATATAATAGAAGATATAGCAAATCTTTAATTACTTTTTAGCTATTCTTATCTTCTTACAGAAATATTTTATAATAATTGTTAAATTGTATGGTAGTGTTTGTTTAAGATAAAGTTATTGCGATATTGTTTCGTTATCGTTAGTAATCTTTATTTTTGTTCCTTTGAAAGAAATTTAGTTACCTTTAAGGTGCACTGATAAATGCTTCTATTTATTTCGTCGTGTGACTAATGTTTACTGCCAAACAAAATTTTAAAATAGTCATTTTGCACTATAATTAAATTCATTGTACTAATTAACAGTATCATTTGTAAAATCACCAATGTGTGTAGAATAAAGACTTTCAATATTGAATTCAATATTGTTACATTAATTAATTACATTAATTTTAGTTTCATATATATATCTAATTAAGCCTTTTTTCATACTAGAATGTATATTCACACAACGTTTCATTTATTTATTAAACTTTATTAATATTTATTAAATATTCTTATAGGTATTTCAACACATTCTCTAAATGAAGCTGAACTAGCACGAGACTTTGAACGCATTGCTGCAAAACGTAATTTAGCAACTGAAATTATTAGTCGCATTCCATTGCAAAAAAGTATATCAACTTCGTCGATAGTACCCAAAGATGAGCCTAAATCGATCGCTCGCCATTTGACGGATAGCGAAGATGAAAATCAAAATTTATTACGAGCACACGCCAAAATTGAAGTTTATGACAATGTAGAGAAAAGACGTAAACGTGGCTCACTTTTCTTTCGTAAAAAGAAGGATAAAACTAAAATGAAAGCATTAGGTCAAATAGTGTGTGATACTTGCGGGGCAAATATTTTACTCGTCAATATTAAGGAACATCAGTTAGAATGTAAGAATAAAAAAACTGGCATTCAGAAAATGTCCTTCAGCTCTAGTAATAAAAGAAGTATTAGCGGTGCGGGAGATAAAAATGATGTTGGACAAGATTATTATGATGGTGCGGATCACAGCGGTAATTTTAATGATGATGCACCACTTATACGTTCAGAGTTTTTGAATGATCCACAAATTGAAGTGCAAGATTTGGGTGCTGATCCCATGCTTGGTATTGCACTCGAAGAGCACGATTCGTGGTCACCTAGTGTACCCAAAGAAGTACTTAAGTCTCTTAAAGAAAAACAAATAAAACGTCAAGAGCATATTTATGAATTTATTATGACCGAAAAGCATCACTGTCAAACATTATTGGTCATGCAAAAAGTTTTTGTGGAAAGCTTAGAGCGCCATTTTCCAGCGCTTAATATTAACAAAATGTTTCCACGTTTGGCTGAGTTAACTGAATTACATATAACATTTTTATGTAAATTAAGACAAAAACAACGCGAGCAATATATAGTAAACAGCATTGCTGACGTACTACTTGATTTTTTTTCACAGGAAAAGGCGCACCATTTACGATTAGCTTATGGTGAATTTTGTGCAAATCATCGTACTGCACTTGAACAATTTAAAACGTGTATTACAAACCGTGATCAAACATTTGCTGAATGGTACAAGCATTGCTTAACAAATCCTTTACTTAAGAAAAAGGGTATACCAGAATGTATTTTATTTGTAACGCAGCGCCTTACAAAATATCCGTTGCTAATTGAGCCTTTGCTTAAGAGTGCACGAGAGGACAAACTAGAATGTGATAAGCTACAGCATGCATTAAACCTTGTGAAGTCGCTATTGGTCGATGTAGATGCTTGTGTAGCTGAAAAAGAATTAAGAGAGCGGCAAATAGAAATTTTTAATCGGGTAGATCCCAAGTCATTTTCCATATATAAAAATAAACCATTCCGTAAAACTGATATAGGCGTTGAATCACGCCGGCGACTTAAATTCGAAGGTCAGGCAACTCTTATGCAAGGTCGCTCAAAAATGCAAATGGTATTAGTAGTTGTGCTAACAGATTGTTTGTGCTTCCTTTTTGAGTCATCACATAATAAATATACATTTTTTACTCCAGAACATAAAGCAGGTGTAGTACCCTTACAGAAGTTACTAATTCGAGAAAAGGCTGGAACAGAGTCACCAGGCATTTATATTATTTCATCGAATCCATCTTTTCCAGAAATGTATGAATTAAAAGTGCAAAAACCAAAGGATAAAAATGTTTGGATACAATCTATTCGGCAGGCAGTTATTGAATGCCCATCATCCGATGTTATCGAAGCTGAAGATCTCACTGCTGAAGAAAAATTGCGTATAGGTGTCAATAAACGTGAGCTAATTGAAAAAATGCGCCAAAAAGATATTGAGTTGGCTCTTCTGCTAGAAGAAAAAATTATTTTACAATTAAACTTGATAAAAGAACAGAAAAAATTCGAAGAATCTCAAAACACTGGTAGCCATAACAGCAATAGTGTAGTAAGTGCAGCTAATTTCTTAGCGGCGTTTGGTACTTACAAAAATTTAATTGGGGTTGACTGTGATACAACGGAGCTATGGAAGCGTATTCTAAGTAATGTGCAAGATATAAGTCAATTAGCGTCGACTGTTTATACCGCAGCTACAGGCCTGTCTGTTTCACGTTCTATCAGTTCCGTAGGTGAGAAGCAAAGTGAATATTTCTATTCACCTACGTTACCGAAGCGCGCTGAAACTTTTGCTGGTTTTGATGAAAAACGAGCAAAGAATATATTTCCTTGTCGTGATGTGGCAAAACTTGCAACAATGCAAGTGATGACACCGCGACTACAGGAATTAGAAGAAAAACGAGAACTCAAAACTACGAACAGTACTGTAGTATCAAGTGGTAGTAATACAATCAACACTATTAATGCATCCTCAATATTACAAACGAGTAATGACATAACAGAGCAAATGCTTAATGATGAACTTACACTCAAAGATCACAACTGTGCTGCATTGCAAATAACACATCACCTGAACACATTACTTTGTATATTATCACAACAGATGACCACAATACACAGCTTGCAGCAGCAGTTGGCTTTGTACAGAGAAAGCTCCCGCACAGCCTATACCCACAATGATCAGTTAGAAGAATTACGCAATTTGCAGGATAAATTGCAAGAGGAAAAGACTGCGTGGTTGCGACAAAAAGAGCAACAAGAAATTGAATTAGATGAAAAACGCGCGCAGCAAACCAAATTGCAAGAACAAATTAAAACTGAACAGGAAGATATTAAGCAACAGAGAGAACAACTCTATCGCAAAATGGAAGTACTCTCCAATCAAGGTTTATTGCTTTCACCAAATACTCCTCTCATGATTACTAGTCCAGCGTTGTCTGCAGTAAATATTGGCGGTGGCATTGGTGTCAATGAGGATACTTACGACTATTACGAAGGACACACACAAATAGCTGACGCTTTAAACGCAAGTAGCACACCTTTAACCACAAGTACAGTAGACAGACGTAAAGACAAGTGGCGCACTGCATCAACTATTTCGAAGACTCCCCCAGTAAATCTTTTAAGCGCAACAAACGCACCTAAAATAAATCAAACAAGCGTTAAACAAAAAATTCCAATGAAACTGTCATCGCTTTCAAATGCTACTTCCGCAACAGCAAATGCAACCAGTTCTAATTCCAACAAAATTGATAAATCAAACAGTTTTACAACTAACAGCACAACTGCTGCGCAACATCAGATTACTAATCCAATTGGTGTTACTCAAATGTTTCCATTAAAATTGGCTGATAAACGCATGAATTTACAGACAACTCAAATGGTTCCACAGCATTCGCGAACAGGTAGTTCACCAGCTATTATTCAACATCAAACAAGTACTACACCAGCTCCAGCAGCGTCTCCACCTTCATCTGGAGTTTCGCACACCGATTCTTTGTCAAAGTTGACTTTTAACCAGAGGCATTATAGCACTCCTACATCATCTAAAAGTCTACAAACAGCCACTCCCACAACATCGATACTATCAACAATGGGGGCTAAAAATGCTAACCCAAGCATATCACGCAGTAATACTAAACTAAAACCTGAAGAAGAAGAAATCTATTTCTGACGCTCGTTTTCGCCAGAAGTGGAAATCTAAGAAAATTATTTACAGCAATACCGGGACTGAATATACGGTTATTCTAAAACTCCAAATGAAACCATTTTCATATCACTTACCAAATATACTGGAATGAGCCTTAGATCAATTAATCAATGCAATTAGAATCTTTTTTGTGAAGTAAACTTTTTATAATAGTTAGTTTTAACTGTTTATTTACTTTATTAAAAGAAAAAAGTTTCTTGTTTCTTTTTTCGGCAGATTCAAAAAAAAAATTAAATTATTTTAAAGAAATAAAAATTATAGTTAAATGAGACTAATATATTAACATTGTGACTACTACGAACCTTATATTAAAAGGTTATTCGAAAACTTTTTTGCTCATGAAGTGAAGAAGAATACCATATCAATTATATAATTAGATATAATATATAATATATAAATACGCATTAATTTGCTCAAGAAAATTTAAAATCCTTACAGAACTATTTAAATTTTGGCTTAGATTATTAATCATGTATAACGTTAATTATTTATTTTATTTTATTTAAGTTTAACATACATTCCAAATTATTATAGTTTTAATATAAGTTATAAGCAAATTAATATATTAACTAATAAGATTTAAGGAATAAGAAGACAATTTATTATACTCATACTTATAAACATATATGTATACGTAATATACATATATTGTATGTAAACACAACAGAGAATAAAATTAATAATTTCAGAGTTTATTCTACAAAAGATCAATTATTAAATAGGTAAATATTTAGTTATGTACGTATAAATATATCTATATATTAACTTACACTTTTGTCTTCAATGTTGTAATTGTCATATAATAAAATTCAAAATGTTATTTATTTTACTTGGAATAGATTTTTTTTACTTTGTAGATAGCATTAAGAATCTAATGTCAAAAAACTAGTATAAATTACAGAAAACGAGGACAAAACCCCGAAAGTTGCTGACAACATCTAATTTCAAGAATGGCCGGCTCTAATTCCGAAGCCACTTGTCTTTACAATTCACAAATTATTGCTGGTCCTTCTCAACAGAAACAAATCTAGCAGGTCTGTATAATATACAAAATAACGGTAATTACAATAACTAGAAGAGGTGTTTCTATTCGTTTCGAACTTTTAATAAGTAATCATATCTCTTTTAGTTGCTACGAGTATTGAAGCGCGCATTTATTATAAAAACACTTGATAAAAAAAACAATTTATTGAATTAAGAATTGCTGACTTCGAATAAGTGTACTCAACCGTATAATTTATGGATTGCAATAGAATTTTATTATTTTACATAATAAATTTCAAAAGAACATATAGTCGAATTGCAGTAATTCGTACCGCGATTAATCGAAAACCTCAATAATTCGTAACAAATTATTGGTCGATTGAAAAAACCTTGTTTATTTGTAAAATTTCCATACATTTTGATCTCCTCCTTAATTCCTTAATTCGTATTTTATTTGAAATTTAATGAACATTAAATCTCTTATAATTCGTAATGCAGAACAAAAAACCTGTCTGCATATTCAAGGTGTTTCAAGAACATTCTCAGCTTTCCAATGCTTTACCGACACAATAAGAAGGCGTGGATCTATTTACCGAATGGCTCCAGATGCTGAATGATAGCATGAAAACTAAAAATCGAAAGATACTGTTGTTTATGGACAATTGTTTATGGACAGCCTATAATGGGTCCCCTAATCTCAGCCACGTAAAAATAAATTTTTTGTCAGTAAACACCACTTTCAAGCTCCAGCCCCTTGATCAGGTTGTTATAAATAAATTATTTCACCGCAAGGAAATAGTTATTAATCTGGCTAATAGCATTGATGGAAAAGAGTTCAAATGTACGCTATTTACGGCAATGTAAATTGCTTATAAAGTGTGGAATAGTGTCAGCAGATTTTGCATTCAAAACTGCTTGTGGTTAATAATAATGAAAGCGAAGAGGGTGATAGCGTCGGCGAGGAACAACTTATAACAAATAAACAAGCCCAATGATGTCCAAAAAAAAGGTTTTTGATAGTTTATTAAGTTCGGAAAAACCAATTGAAGAGATAAGCGAAAAGAATCTGAAGCAATTGTCAATTACACTTTTAAAGTTAAAATTTGATCTTTCACTATATAATTATTTATGTTTTTATTTTCTTATTTAATTAATAGTACGTAGAATGTAAATACATATGTAAATTGGATTATTTAGTTCTAATGAACAACGCCTGAATTTTTACGTGATTACCTATCTTGAAGGTTTAACACCACGGTGTTCTACAAACACATGTATCAAGATAATGCGTCGATAAATTCCTCATTGGAAACTCGAATGAATTTTCACCGATTCCAAATGAACTTATGTGTTTTGGACGTAACTTCCTCATTGGAAAGGAGCGAGGCCTACCAATACTTCTGCTGATCTTTGGGTCTCAGCACACGGTGGTGAATACGCAACTCCACGTCGAATGAATGATAAACAAATAGCTGATCATTCCTTCGGCGTAAGTTTGGGTATCAACCACGGCCATTATGACTCTGTCAACCATCGTTTGGCCAGGACACCCGAAATTGCGGGCACCTGACCACCGTATTACCAGATTTATAATACATATTTAATAATAAAATAAATTTTATGTAATAAAATAAAACAAAAAAACATGTTTTTAATTTTCTGCATAGAAGGCCAAAAAAAAAAAAACAAAAACGTACAAAAGAAGCAAATGCTTTCATCCCTCAAATAATTTGTGTGATGCACGTTTGTTTGCATTTTGCGCTCTCACTTCACCTTTTGCTTACGAACTCTTCGAAGTCTTCGAAGTTTTTCACTACATTTAAACTTCGAAGACTTCGAGAACAAAAACTCACAAAAACTTCGAAGTTTTTTCCAACTTCGAAGACTTCGTTGAAATGCGAATATTCGAATTTCTTCGAATACTTCGTAAATTCGAATATGAACAGCACTAGTATCTAATCTTCCATCTTAAATATTATATAATACTTGTGAAGAGACTTGAAAATAAACAATAACTTAAAGATATTCTTAAAAGCAATAAACTTAATAAACTTAACAAAATAGAAGAATTATTGTGTGTAAAGCTTTCTATATTGATCTCTACAATCAAAATATAATATCAACACATCATGTTCACATCACATTTCAAGAGATAATATTTCCGTTCTACCTTAAAACACTATATTGCTATAGACAAAAAAAAATAATGTATAACACAATAAAAAAATAAATATAAATTCATTTAGTTAGTTTGATTAATAAAATTGTTTTTAGTATTCCTAACAACGTTACTTCAAGATTTTCAGTGTACCTGTAAATACGTTTATATATTATTACCACAGATGTATTTACCGCATAATGGTTACGATTTTACTCAAAATTATCTTATTTAAATTAAGTTCATTCATCTGTTTTAAACAACATCTCCAGGAATAAGAAAGTATTTGGAACAATAATAGATAAATCAAATACTGAACTAATAAAAAAAATTGGTAGACTCTCAGTCTAAAATGTTCTCCATCTAAGTAGAAGAATCAAATATAATTAGAAAAACAATTATATAAGGGTATTATTGAATAATATTAACAAATTGATATCATTAAAAAGATTTCTTTTCTTTTCTTAATTTCTTAAAAAATCAACAGCGTTAAAGTACTTTTATATAATATCAAGGGTTTATTATGATATCAGCATTTATATATAATATATTTCCATCAATTAATAATTTTTATTAAACTTTTTAATGAAAGATATTCCTGGTACTGAAGTTATAAACTTATGAAGTATTTTATTCAGAATATTAAAATTGAAATTAAATTTCTACTTTCTGTAGAAAGGATTTATGGAAAACAAATAATTAAGTAAATGAGAATTACATTTAATCATTATGAGAATTAATGTACATTTATAAGTTTTCAATAACTGAAATTAAAAAAAAAAAACAATCAAAATTATTAATAAACTCTATTTACATTTAAAAAACATATTTATTGGTAAAATGGACGTATTGGATGTAAGAATATATTAGAATAGGTTTTCAAAAGTATATTCGATGTACAGTGATGACCATAAAGACCTGTTATTTCTATATCATAACTGACGTGATGGATAATTTCTATCTCAAAACGTCTTAATGACTAAATCGCATACCTATAATGGCTATAACAAATCCAATCCATTTTGAGCATAATGAAGTGTAAACATAAAGAAACCACCGAATCAAGGAAAATCTTATGCCTACATTGGGGAAATGATGGATTGAAGCCGCTACATCAATCATCAAGCATTGTGCAACGTTCCAAGACGTCGACATTATTGCAAAATGCAAAGAACAGACGCCGTTCTAAAGCTTTGAACGACCGCGAACGCAACAAAGTAATAAGAAATGTGACAGTCAACTCAGAAATATCTTCAGATATTTCTATGTTAACCGAGAAATTGGCAAGGATATTCATTGCATAACGGTCAGGAGTACCCTGCATGAAGCCAATTTAAAGAATATATCTTTTACTTGTAGATGTTTTAATGTTGCAAATTTACCTTTATGTGGTATATCTTTTTAAGCGGGATTTTATTATAAGGATATAATTTTAGAAATTTTGTCTTTAAGTTATGTTGTTATGGTAATTTTATTATTTTAGTTTAAATATATTAAGAGATAATAGATGAGTTATGTTAAAGGGAATATTAGGATTATTATTTGGATGGACATCAAAGAAGCTTTTGACAAAGTAAGCTTTGATAAATTAACATCTGGTCTAGCTGAGCGAAAAGTCGGTTCACTCATTATTGAATGGATAGATTTCATGCTAAGGCAAAGAGCAGTAAATCTACAAAATGGAAGACATGGATTGAGAGGCAGAGCACTTAGAGGTTGCCCACAGGGAGGGGTGCTTTCACCATTCCTGTGAAACGTGACCATAGACTCTCTACTTCAACAGCTTGACTTCAAAGGCATTGTTTGTATGCAGACGATATAGCACTGATGGTGATCGGCAAGTTCCCAGACACCATTAGAAACGTAATAAGCAGTGATCTCAAATGCGTAGGAAAATAATGCAGGGAATAAGGCCTGATCAATGCGACGAAATAAGACACTATCCTCTTCGCGAGGAAGAGAAGCTTGTCAATGGAGCCCTTAAGTCGGTGAAGTATCTAGGAATCATCTTGGATAATAAACTGACCTGAAATGTACATGTGGATGGAAAGATCAGAAAAGCGAAGAGAGCCCTATTTCAGTGTAAGAGAGTGTGCGGAATGCGATGGGGGATATCCCCAAAATCAATGCACTGGATCTATACGATGATGGTCAGACCTATTGTAACATATGCATCAGTTGTCTGGTGGAGTGAAGTCACCCAAAACCAATAGAAGCTAAGTTTGATAGGGTCCAGCGACTAGCCTGTGTTGGAATAACGGGCGCTATGCGCACCACACCAACACCGGTGTTAGCGGCGATGCTAGGTTTGCTTCGGTTGGATTTACGTATAAAGAATGAACCGGAGCTCCACATGGAACAACTTAGGAAAATTGGTGGGTCATCGGAAAATTCTTGACCTCGTCCAGACCGCGGTCAAGGTAACGCAGATGCTATTGGAGACTATGAGGAGAGCTTATGCGACAGAAGTGTCCTATAGAACACTGATAGTAAACGGCATTCTACATAATGAATGTGAAAGGAATGACATCTGCAACTTTACCGATGGCTCCTTGATGGATGACAGAGTTGGTGCTGGGGTTTTCTCGAAAGAGCTAAATCTAACGTGTACTCTACATCTAGGAATATATGTTTCCGTCCATCAGGCGGAGCTTATGGCCGTCTCACATGCTCTGGATCACCTATTGGATTGTCAGGTGTATCAGAAGAAGATTCTGATAGCGCTGGACAATCAAGTAGTTATCAAAAGCATGCAAAAGACATACATAGCTAACAGCTTATTTCAAGAATGTGTAACTAAGCTCATGGAATGTGTTCATGGAAATGAATTAATGGTCATGTGGGTTAAAGGACACATCGGTATTGAGCAAAACGAGAAGGCAGATGAAATTGCAAAGCAAGGATCAAACCATAACTTCTGCGGCCCAGAACCCATAATACCAATGGGTTTCAACATGATGACAACCTATGTCTATAAATGGATGACCTCACTTCATCTCAACAGGTGGAGAGAGTTGAGCACTTGTAGACAGACTAAACTCATGTTGCCGAAACCGTGGGTCAGGGAAGCGATAAAAGTGCTATCCGCGGAGCAACCTAAGCTGGCTGACCTAACTAATTACTGGACATGGCAACTTCAAGTATCACCTCAAAAAGATAACTCTTGCTAAGGAAGACACTTGCAGACTATGTCTAGAAGAAAAGGAGATAACGGTGCATATATTGTGCCAATGTCCAGCACTGGCAAGTAGGAAGAAGACTGTTTTGGGACTTGGCAGGTAACCTCAAGCTAAATGAGCTGCTTGCATTAACAAGAGATGTAGTTATGCCAACGGAAGCCACTCCAGCTTTAACTCAATAACGACAGAATAGAAGGACGAAAAAGGACCCAAGTACTTGCCACTTGTTGGGCGGTTGATGCTAAACCAAATGGGAGATTTTTTAGGATTTTTTGCACTGCACACATTTAGCCATTTATCAACACGTATCGACACATCACTACATTATCGACACAATTTAGAATTTCCCTCATTTAGAACGCAACTTAGCCTAACTCGCACACGACCTAAATATAACTATTAAAAAATTCTTGGTTTTTTTGGATTTTTCGTATAATATTAAAATTCACAAGCTGTAAGAATCTGGCAACGTTATTTTTGATTTCACATGACAGCTAAGTTGGTAATGCAGTATATGATTGACAGTTGAATAATATTTCAGCTGACTTTTCTAAGGCCGCTAATGTTGTTTAGTATAATTTAACAATAATTTTGATAAGTTTATGTTCCTAGCCAAGCAGTAAATTAATATTAAACAATTATAAATCTAAGTACTGGATGAGTACAATAACACAATGTTAAGACAGGTTATATGCGGTTTTCAACGTGCAATAACTATACAAACAAATTGCACACCGCAGGGCATTATTGCACTTCAGCATAAACTTTTTCATAATGAAAACCATATGACATTATGTAAAAATAACGGTATAGCGTTAAATACACAGGATGACTTTAAAACCAATACATTATATGATAGCGATACAGATTATATTGTACCCTATCCAAGGGACGAGGAGGGCCGAAAAAATGGACATGTATTTGTCGCTGCATTGCGTACACGTTTTAGATTAAAGAATGATGAAATACGACAAATACTTAAAGATGAGACAGTACAGCGTGCCTGCCGTGAACGAGCCTTAGTATATTCATTAGACATACTGCTTGCAGAGGGTGTGAGTAAGGCTAGCTGTTTGGAGTATCCATGGCTTCTAACGATTGAAAAATGTGAGTATACACACAGTATGTGACATACTAGATTTTTTTTTTGTTTAATTTTTAGCACGCTTGGAACTAAAGTTAAAACAATTAAAATTATTAAAGATGCGAGATATAAATCATTGGGTGCCTTTCTTGAAACTTAGTGTAACACGTTTACATTCACTTTGTTCTGGTTTACGTCGTGAAGCAGATATAGTTCCTTATGGCAATCGTGTTTATTATATAAGTGAAAAATTAGGAGTTGATCCTCAAGTGGTAACAAAATATTTGTCAAAACGTTTATTTATATTAGAGATGCCTTTCGATATTTTTGAATCAAATCTGAAGCATATGATTGACTATAATGTCTCACCCATGAATTTGTTAAAAGATTTATGGGCGTTTCGTTATACACCAAAATCAGTAAAAAATCGTCTAGAACGTGTAAAGGTTGCCAAAAAAGAGAAAGTTATGCCATGGATGATACGGTGTCCGGAAAATATATTGCAGAGGTAAGAAATGAAGATATATTGAAATTTAATGCTGAAGCACATTATTTGAATATGTGTTATATCTTTAATTACTGCTAAAATGACATATAAAAACAATACAATTATGATAATTATAAAATAATTATAATTCAATATTAACAGGTCTATAAAACTAACGCTAGACGAACTGGCAGTGCTAGGCAATAAAACTGTAGCAAAATACTTGGGCGAACGCTTGCAATTCACTGAAGTTGAAGCTAAAGCTATAATGGCAAAACATCCGCAAGTACAACGAGTTAGAGTAACTAAGGTATGTGTAAGCAACTAATGAAATTGTTATTAGTTTCAACTGTTATTTTTATAGATTAAGGAGGTTTTGGATTATTTACTGGGAGAAGGTGGTTTCTCGCGTTTCGATATTGCACAAGTGCCGCGTATACTCTGTCATAGTTTGGAAACTACAAAGTTTCGCATTGAAGAGTTGAAATCAATAGGTTGTCGTCCGAGCACATTAGTAATAATTTGTCGCAGTAAACGAGAATATGAGAAATTTGTAAAGCAGTGGATGGATACCCGAAACAAATCACATACTTTCAACGAATCCGCAGAAGACAATAAGTCCACGTAATATGAAATATTAGTAAGGCCTGCAACGCTCGTTAATTTTGAATTACTTTGCTAAACCTAATATACGTAAAAAAAGTTTAAACACGCTTCACCATATATTTCAGCTCTTCAATACTTTAAAGATCGCTTTAAATGTTAAGTTGAAAATCACTTTATTGAGTTTAGTTTTACAATAAAAAAAATAAAATTACTTTAAGATTAGATGCAGAAAAACTAACCAGAAATACTTTGTAAACTAAAATGTAAAAAATATTTGTTAAAAAGATTACCTAAAATGTTTGTATGTAGGCACGTGAATTTATTTCTTAAACTGTTTATATAGTATATTAGTTGTATTTATTTATAATGAATTAAATTTAAACATATTTTTCTAATGTAATGTATTAAATATTTACATAATTAATACATCTAATTTGTTTTAGAAAGATTTGGTATGAAAACTAATAGTTAACAATAAATAAGTTTTTAAAATTATGCATTAATATTTTCAAACAAAACTCGGATATTCACTAAAATATATAAAATCAAAATGATGTGTAAAAATTTATCTCAAAACACTAATTTTCTATTTATTAAATTTTATAGGATTGCAATTTGTCTTAGTAATTTTTCTAAACGGAAACTGTTTTTTTTTTAGTTTTACTTATAACTTTTGTATAAACGATATAAATGAAATGAATATAAAAATAAAACTGTTATAATATAATTTAACATTAACAATTAAATAAAATTGTTAACTATTAATATTATATTAAAATATTTTTACAAATATATGATTAATATTAATGTCAATATACTACAAGATTTGATATAATTTGATATAAAATATTAAAAATATAGTAACTTTAAATATTAATTTTTTTTGCAAAAATATTTACAATATATTTTCCATAAAGTTTTATTAAATTTGATTAAGTTAAAATTTGAAAAACAATTTTTTTAAATAAAATTGTTGAATTTAATTTAAAAATAATGTTTAATTTATACTCTTTAGTTAATTTTGTTGTGCTGGAAAAATATGTTTCTCCGTAAAATCAATTTATAAAATTAGTTTTACGGATTCCTAAACGATGTAGTAGGTTAGAGTATATAAAAAGTATTTATAAATATTTTTGATATATAAGTGGTTACTTTTAATATCAGTTGTACATATTTAATATTTAATATTATGCATATAATGTTATAAAAAATAGTTGTTAAATGTAATACTTCTGGAAGTTTAATCAACTATTAGAAATCCTATTTATATCTTTTTAGTGCGTTCAATTGATTTATTGGTTAATGTTATGCAGAGTGGAACTGTAGTTTAGAAACGAATAAGGAACAGTCTGAAATATTGTAAAGTACGTTTCATAGAGCTGGGAATTCTTAATAGAAGTGAGCATGTGTTGCAATGGTTACGCTGTAAGTAGAAAGCGTGTTCTCCCTGAGAAATGTGAATGAGAGGCCTCTTTTAAGTGTTTTTATAGAAAATACTATATCAGTATGCAGTAGGTATAGCCTGCTATTATGCAGTAGTGAATATTCAACAACAATATATAATAATAGAAAAACACTTCTTCAATGTAATACTGACAGAAAATAATATCATTTAAACCAGGGTTGTCCAAAGCACGGCCCGCGGGACACATGCGGCCCGCTTCTTCTTCTTCTTCTAGGTCCCTTGTCCACTTCGAACGTTGGCTAACATGATTGCTATTTTGACTTTATCTACAGCTTCTCGAAAAAGTGATCTTGTACTTTTAACAAATCATTGACATAAATTTGTAACGACACGGATTCGTCGTTTTTAATTTTGCTGAGGTATCACTCAGTCGCGGTCCGAGTCGTTGCAATAAATTTGCTTTATTGACTACTTCGAAGCTCTGAGACCAAGGAAAAGCAAAGACGCTGTTTGTAGTGTTAAAATGACTGTCTTTATTATAAAATTTTATTGACTCAAGAGAGCTTCCAAATTAACTTATGCTAATTATTATGCTACAGAAGTTATGCAAATTTCCACTAAATAGCTTCTAGCCAATGATGTCAAAACATCAGAGGCGTTATATAACATTACTCTATTTACTGGACTCTAGCCAACGATGTCAGAACATCAGAGGCGTTATCAATTCTTCAGTCTGTCTACAATTCTACCTTCAATGATTAATTTCAGTAGTCCGTACTTTTCCGGATGCCTCAGAATATGACCAAAAAACTCCAAATTTCGCCGTTTTACTGTCTCTAATATTTCGGTCTCTTTGTTGACACTCCGAAGTACCACTGTATTTGTAATTTTTTCTGTTCAGCTTATTTTGAGCATACGCTGGACGTGCAGTGGCCCGCTACATGTTGTTAATCTACTACTATTATGCAAACTTTCTTTTGGTATACTGATAAAACTACATTATATTTTTATGGTATACCAAATATATGAATTAAAATTTTTTCTAATTTGATTAAAACTGAAATTTGCAATTTCAACCGTATTTTTTTTTATCAGAAACAACTATGAACGTTTGATTTTGTTTTTGTGACCCTCTCAACTGTACAGTGATTGGTATTGGCCCGCGATCGCATCTGATCTGAACTGCCCTGATTTAAATGATAGTATTTAATTATATTTGTTAGTTATTTCTATCAAAACCTGACAGCTATTAAAAAGTAATAGAATACAAATTCCCTAAATAGTAAACACCAGTCAAAATCCTAATTTCGCGTTCATAAGTGTTTGGGTCAACAGTTCAAAACTCCGTCTTAAAGTGCAATATTTTCCTTTGATAGACTTAGAATCTACTTAGATCAGTTTGCTTCTTATAATATTGCAGGTTATTCTATATAGGTTTCGATCTTGGTTCCACCTAAAAATATTTACGTGTAATATTTAAAAATTAATATTAGAAAGTTTTAATATTTGGCAAAATTTTTTTGCAATGTTAATGACTCTCGTCAAAAACAATTACAACAGATATTATCTGTGTAATTATTATCTGGCAAACGCCATTTTTGTTTTCATTTGAACTTAGTGACCAAAGCATTTAAAAATATTCTATAAAAAAATTTATTGTCTAAATAGTTTGTTTCAAAGTTGTTTCAAATTTATTTCCTGATTAAATATCAATTTCTTAAAGGAGATTCAAGAATATGGAGATAACAACACAGATGGCTCGCATAATCTGCAGTACAAAAGACAAAAATGGTAACCTTTACTTTTATGCAATTTTTTTATTTTTTATTATATTGCAATATATTTTTCAAAAAACGCCATTTCTTGTTAAAGCTAAACTTAGAAAAAATCCTATACTAGCGACACAAAAAACTTGTTCCAAACAGCGAATGAATGCAACCAATTATAAATCTACAATCTGGGATGCGCAGAGCGGTCCCAAATCGGATTCAGGTAAGGATTCACTGTTGTTAATTATTATATGATAAGTATTAACTTTTAAAAATTTACAACACACCTAAGGCTCAAGATGTAGGGAAAAAGTAACCGCTGATCTTAAACGATTTCAATATAATTTAGAAGAAAAAAATAAATTCTTGAAATCTACAAAGACAAATATTGAGACGTCCACTGCTAAGGCACCTATACCAAAGCACACAGATTGTTTGCCAAAGCACACAGCTTATAAGGTTTATGCACCTAAAGCATTAGAACGTTTGAGATATGACAGAGTAAATCAGCCTGCACCAAAAACTAAAATAAACCCAGTCAAAATGGATGAAAAACTTTCGTGCTTACAAACAAAAGCAGTCCGTAGCACAATTCCCCTGAAAAATGTTCCTAAAAATGATGCAAAAAATAATATCAAGCAAAGGTCACCTGCAGACACTCGGCTTACTCAAAAAGTACCTGCTGAAATTGGGAAAAAGGGTTTTGCCAATATAATTTGTGGCGGAACACAACAAACTAATAAGTCCACAAAACTTAAGATTGAACAAAGCCCTCCAGATCCATACTTGAAGCATGGAATTTGTAGATGTCAATGTTCGAAAAAAAATATTGCAACCACAAGTCAAAATGGTGGAACCAAAAGTCAAGATGGCATGGAACAACCTCGTCGACCTGTAGTTACTCCAAATGTTATCAGTGATTGCAAAGAGGTAGTTGCTGAAGCTAAGAACACGAATGCAAATGTGATCAAACCACATTTAAAAAATGGTGGGTTGACTTACAGAATAGAAAAAGATTGCAGTTCTAATTTAAACATCCCATCCATCAACATTGAAGAACCAATTCATAATGCAGAGCTAAGTAAGAAAAAGTGCCAAAAGATCTCAGAAAACGTAGACAAGAATAAATCTCAATTAATAAAAAATCGTTTAATACGGAAATCTGAAAATGGCAATTGTTCCGGGATTAAAAGGGTTGAAGCAAACCTCTGGAAAAGCAGCAACCACTAATAATAAATTATTTATTTGCGTTACATGTAAAATTCACAATTTTACATAATTTATTTATCATAAAGTATTTAAGTTTGATTGAATATTGACCTTCCGCGAAAATAAATCACCACATGGAACGGAACCAAAAACATCGATATTTATTTTTGATAAAATTCAATAAAATGCTTTTTAATTGTTTTTTAAATTTTTTTTTACATTTTAATCACTAAAAGAAACCAATGGTCATAAGAATGACCCTGAATCTTCCTTCTGCAACTATTAAGTAGAGT